ATCAAAGCCACTTTTTTCGAGTTCCGCACGCATTCCCCCCCTTCCCTGCCAACAGCACAGCGACGTTATTTCTATGTGAGTTTGTGCTGATTTACATGGACGCGCCCAGCAGTGACAAGCATTCCTCTGATGCACTCTCCCTATCCCCTGTCCCTCTTCCCTGCACTCTTGCCCACGCACCAACAGCACAGCAACGCTGTTCCTCTGCGAGTGCGTGCTGATCTACATGGACGCTCCCAGCAGCAATAAACACCATTCTTCGCCTCCTCTTTCCACTTCTCCCCCATGCACGCACCCCCCTGCTAACAGCACAGCGACGCTGCTCCTCTGCGAGTGCGTGCTGATCTACATGGACGCGCCCAGCAGCCACAGGCTCGTGGCGTGGGCGGCAGAGAAGTTTGGCACGGCGGCGTTTGTCGTCTACGAGCAGATCCGCCCCGACGATGCGTTCGGGCAGCAGATGATCCAAAACCTGGAGGTGAGCCACTCACTGGCTACTGGTTGCTAATTTTAGAAAGTGTTGCTGGATATAGAAAGCTCTAGAAGGCAGGGCACTGCTGTGTGACATGTTCGTCGTCTACGAGCAGATCCGCCCAGACAATGCGTTCGGGCAGCAGATGATTCAAAACCTGGAGGTGAGTGGGCTGCTGGGGCGGTTATTTTAGAAAATATTGCCGGATATGGAAAGTATTGCGGTGTTTGTCGTCTACGAGCAGATCCGCCCAGGCGATGCATTCGGGCAGCAGATGATCCAAAACCTGGAGGTGGGTGGGGTTGCGTGGCTGCTATTATTAGAAATTGTTGCCAGATATAGAAGGCTCAGGTTGCCCTTCCCTGTACACCACTAATGTACTGCTCATATTCCATGCATCTCATGTCACCACTCCTCACTGTTCCTCACCGCTCTTCACCTCAATGCACCTCCAGGTGCTTATCTGGATTGGAGCTGGCCTCTTCTTGTTGTATACTGCTTCCTAATGTTCCATGCATCTCCACACATACCACCACTCCTCACTGCTCCACACTGCTCCTCACCTCTCTTAACCGTTCCTCACCTTGCCGCACCTCCGGCTGCTTGTCAGGCTCGGGGCTGCCCTCTCCTTGGTATCAGAGCGACACCAACACTAGAAGCAAAGGAGAAGAGGTTCCTCGATGGTGGCTTTGAGGTAAGGTTTTTCCCATTCATGGTCCCAGTCTTGTGTTCCACGGTTGGAGCACTGTGTTTCAGGGATGTAGTGGTACCGGCTTCATGATTTGAAGGTACTGTTGTTTTTTTTTTTTTTTTTTTTTATCTTGTTTGGTTCATATCTGGTGCTGTGGTTGTGCAGAGAAGCAAGGCAGTGGTCATGGACGTGATGATATACTCACACCACATCGATGCTTGAGGCACTTGCACTGCTTTATCCGTTTGGCGTTAAATGAGAGACTGTTTTTTGTTCGTCTGGTGCGGTGACTGTGCAGAGAAGCAAGGCACTGGATATGGACGTGATATACTCACACCACATCGATCCACAGCTCGTCAGAAAGTGAGCACCGCAGTGCACTTCATTGCACCGCAGTGCACTACACAGCACTTCACTACACCGCACTGCACTGCACCGCGCCGCACGGCAACACCCTGCACTGCACGTGCCATTCCATTCCATGGTTACGTCTAACGAGTTTTGTTTCGCCCCTGATTGGACCATGTAAACCCCATAACCCCATTCGCTTGTACCTCTGTACCGAAATTTCCTACTGAGAACCCATGTTGTTGCCACTTTCCATCATTGACATCTTCTCTCCTGCTCTCCCATCCTGGTTCCGTTTACATGTTTCGACTCCCTCGTCTCAGTCTCGACTCCCTCGTCTCAGTCACGACTCCCTCGTCTCAGTCTCAACTCCCTCGTCTCAGTCTCGACTCCCTTTTCTCAATCTCAACTCCCTTGTCTCAACTCCCTCGTCTCAGTCTCAAATCCCTCGTCCCAACTCTCGCTTCACATCTCGTTTCACATTGCGTTGCAGATTGCGTTTCACATCGCGTTTCACTTTGCGATTCATGTTTGGTTTCACATCTCGTTTATGTTCCCTTGTTCTTGTCGTTCCAGAATCGAACCACTGGAGATATTCGATGAGTTTGAGGAGTGGCATCTCATGCAGGTAGGCTTCATCGTTGCTTTTGCCATTTCATGTTACAACTCATAATCCGTTGGTCTCCTAGGCGTATACTGCTGAGGCAAATTCCACCTTCATTTCAGTTCTACCGTACTAGCACTGATTAAATCCCAAGGATCAACCCCTTTTATGTACGCACAGGAACACTACTGTATCGCTTATGGAATAAAGGATGCTCTGGTATTTATTCTCACTTCACTGACCACCCTTTGGCACCACGTGGTGCAGCTGGTTTCCGTTTTTTCCTACAAACAGCTTATCATTTTCTTCAATAGCTAGAGTCCTCTGTTTGAGCAATGCAGCATGAGATATTAATTTGTGCTTGTGTTTTGTATTTCAGGGTGTTTTACATAACTTTGGATTTCGTAATTTCTCTCAAGACACAACATAACCTGCACAGGTGCAGTTTGTGATGGGATAGCTGTGAACAAATTTGGACCACCCTCTGATTAGAAGTTGTATTTTCCCGTGTTGCAACAGATTCCATGATCAATTTCCGCAAAATTCACTTTGTACAGAGTCGGAATTATCAAAACTACCGAACGAGTATCGCTGGATTCCCAGTTGATTCCGCGACCTGCAGTTTCAGTCATCAGCAGCCGCTGATCTCCGCCACCGCCTATCCCGCAACCCTCGATTCCCGCTGCTCTGCTCCTTATTCAACATCAACCAATCTGCTTCTCAAATCTCGATCTAGGAGGCGGCTACAGTACCACCAAAACACAGGTCCCATACTCAAGCTCTCACAATAGCTTTATTGCCAGCGAAAGCCTCCGTATTCTGAACAACCTCAAGGTTTTGAGCCGAACACGAGAGTTGCCGGCATTCACGGGTGCAGCACGCTGCTAGTTCCATGCGCAGCCACGCAACTTCCGCGAAACAGGTCCTTATTTACAATCTCCGTTCGCGACTTTCCCCCCAGCACGCCTAGCACCAATCGCGGGCCCTTGATCAGCGGGTTGTAAACCACGACTTTCTTTTTCGGATCCGCCGTTGGTAACCCTTTACCCTTGGGTTGCGCTTTCAAAGTAACGTAGTCATAATTGTCGAAGAGCACATTAACCATTGCGATATCCTGAACCTTTTTCGTCTTCCAAATAAGTTGCATTAGAATCGCGGGGTTGATGCTCGCGTTGAGAAGCGCGCGATTGGTTGGAACGAGAATCGTTACCGCGGGAGGCAACTTGCTAGGAGCGTCCTTTTCTGTTTGGGAAAAGGCAAGGGGGAAGGGCAGGAAGAGGGGGGAATGGGGGTTGAGGGGGAGGCGGGGTTGTGGGGGGGAGGATGGGGGAAGGGGAGCAGGGTGTGTGGGCAGGGGGGAAGGGAGAAGGGGAAGGGAGAAAGGGGAAGGGAGAAGGGGGTGAGACGATACAAGAAGTCCATCTTTGTCGAATATCACTTGTCTCAAAAACTCAAAACTCGCATCTATTGGTTACATCCCGACCCCGCCCAGCTCAACGCCCCTCCCGCCTTGTGCTACTAATATGATCTGTTCAAAATACTGCATGAAGGCGCAACGTTTGTATTTGAGTCGACTCAAAAGAAATTATTTTTGAGTCGACTCAGAACCCAGCTCAACGCCCCTGCCTCCTTGTATTACTAATATTATCTGTTCAAAAGACTGCATTAAAGCGCAACCTTCGTTTTTGGGTCGACTCAGAAATCGCCGCTGCCTCCTGTACTACTATCCTTTGTCCAGACTGCATGAACGAGCACTGACCCTTGTATTCAAGCCCTTTGCTCATCGCAATAGCCATGCCGTCGTAACGCGTTGGTCGTTTCGCCAAAGTTCGTTGAAGCTTCTTCAGGTCGCCGACGAACTGTCGCCACGTGCATCCGACGTCGGGGAACGGGAAGCCTGGACTTACGACGGCTTCGACAACGGTCTGCCCGATGAGAAAAACTGCGAGCGCTGCGAAAATATGAACGCGACTCGAAACCATGGTCGCAAACTTGAGGCTGCTGACGACGAATCTGACAGAGAGGCTTGGTTGGTCTGTCGAAGGTAGAAGTTGGAATGCGGGAAAGTGAAGTGACGCATCATGGGCTTTCACCTATTATACCACCCTGCGACTGTGAGAGGGCCTTACGACTTACAACAGGTCCGCGTTGACTTTTCGTTCTTTCTTTTATGAAAACACCAACGCGTGCGTGTGTTAGTTCGTGGTTCCATTACGCGTCAGGAGGAGCAGCTCAGGACAGGATTCAGGAGGAGCAATCGAGGAGTGAGTGCCGTGAGGAGTCTGGCACTAAAGATCTGAGTCTGATGAATAGTAGATTAGGGCAGGGGCAGAATGCACTATGTACCCAATGGGAAACGTACGCGATTCGGATTAAGGTTGACTATGCAGGTTATAGTTTTCCTCGTGGTTGCCCTAGTCGACTGTTCATACACAATGGGCTGCATTTAACATGTGCCACTTTTTCCTCTCTCTCCCCCCCCATCCCCACCACCCCCCGTATTTGATATTGTTTGTCGTGACTGGGTGCAGGGTGCCAGCTCGCACGGGATACAAAATCTTCCACAAATTTTCGGTACAAGCGGGAACTGTCCCCGCAGTACTGAAGCAGACCAAGATATATATTTATATGTCCATAGTCTCTGCAAACTACATATTCCATTTCTGCAAAAATATGTTACACTTTGGACAAACTCGTATTATATGTTTCTTGTGCATCTCTGTATCCCCAGTCGGTTCCCCGGCCTGCAAATACCGTCTTCACAGCAGTCGTTGATTGTTCACAAACAGATCCACAGCCTGAGCTTCATTCTCTCTGTACGCCCAGCAAAAGCCTTGATTCCTCATTATCAAACCTTGAGCTGAGCAGAATAAATTGGCTGCCTTTCACGGCTGGAGCAGTCTGCTGATTCCTTGCGCAACAACGCAATTGCCGCTAAACAGGTCCTTATTCATAACCTCCGCTCGTCCCTTCGCCCCGACAACGCCCAGAGTCATTCCCGTGCCTTGCATCATCGGGCTATCCTGGCCCTTGTATCTCGCGACTTTCTTTTTCGAATCAGCCGTTTGTATTCCTTGTCCCTTGGGTGTAGACTTTAAAGTACTGTAGTCGTATTCGCCGACGAGCACGTTCACCTTGGCGATACTCTGGACTTTTTTCTTGTTTTGAATGAGGTCGATCAGGAAAGCGGGGTTCAGGCTCGCGGCGAGAAGCGCGCGATTGGTCGGAACGAGAATGGTGACCGCGGGGAGCAATTCGCTTGGAGCATTCTTTTCTGTTGGTAAAAGGAGATGAAGATAAAGAGTGTGGGGGGGGTGGAGGGGGGGAATGTGGGAGACGGGGAAGAGCAGAGGATATGAGGGTAGGAGGGGAAAGGAAAGAGTTTAGGCTAAGCCAAAAGCTCGTCCTTCGATGAAACATCTCCCTTGGATTTTCATCCATAAGATGCATCTCGAACCGGCCCTTCTCGACTATCAACGCCCCCTGACCTAACCCCTTGACCAAACTGCACGAGCACTCACGCATCTTTTTGAGCCCTTGCTTCAGCGCGATGGCCATCCCGCCGTAACGAATTGGATTTTTCGCCAAAGTTCGCTGAAGCTTCTTCATTTCGCCCACGAACTGGTCCCACGTGCACACGCCCGTTCCGACGCCGGGGATCGGGATCGGAAAACCCGGAATCAGCCCAGCTGCGTCCGCGCTCTGCACGATTAACAGAACGGCGAGCGTCGCGAGAATATGCCAGCGAATCCACGCCATGTTCGCGAAATCGACGTCACTAGCCTTGAATCTAGCACAGTCAGGCGATTGTGGTGCGAGTGAAGGGTGGAATGATGGACTCGGGATTGGACGAGTATCTCAGTGGATGATTTGTTTATAGATTACACCATGAAGGATTCCAGCTTTTCTAGCTTGTATTTCGGCATAGAATTCGTCGGCCCCAATTGAGAACCCCACATTTCACTCCTCGACTTTTAACCACGTACACACCATATCATTCCATCTCATGGCCGGCGCACTTGGCGCTTGCTTGATCCGCTTGGCTCCGCAGCACCTGAAGGAGAAATCAACAGATCATCTTGTCCCCGCCATTTGACAGCCGAAACGTGAAGGCTCTAACCCCTATTGAACCAAGATAAACCGCATGAAAACCAGCAGAACCGCATGAAAGATACTCGCTCACTCGTGTCGGTGGTCAGGGGCTGCTGATGCTGTACATACCCGATGCAGGTTCGGCATTCAAATCAATCGACGGTTCAAAATCCTGACACGTTCACTACGAGCATCTGCAAATACAAGGAGATTACAGTGGTCGCTCTTTGCCACATTTTCGTGCATGATCGTAGCCGTTCAAATCCCCTGCGCATGCACAAACATCAAGATTCTGGTTCACCCAAGTATTCTGCTTTTGCCGAGGCGCTGCTATCCTTTGCCACCAACCTAAACAGAGACCTACATGAAGCAGCAAATGCCTATTGGTGCGGTTTGTCGGTGTGCGGTTGAAGTGGATCACCGATATCCTCGACAAAAAAATCTCTTGATGGTGAAGGAAGATACAGCTCCCGTCGTATTCATGGGTTAAAACCAGCATGAAATTGCTACATCACTTTTTTAGTACTGGTTGATGCTGATCAGTGTTTCCAGCTATCGTCTCAAATCCTACATCCCCTATACCTCCCCTCTTGTATTTATCCATGAAAATATACACCCCTTACTCTTCCACCTCTTCCTCTTTCTCGTTCTGATCTTCCTCCCCTTCTTCCTCTTCCTCTTCCCCCAATTTCTCCAATTCCTCCTCCACCCACCACTGCTTCCCTATCACACACACTCTCCTCCCTGCCTCTCCCACGACCCTCCCACGCCTCCGAGGGATTCATCTCCTGACTGACATTCTGTCCCCGTGCTCCTCCTTCGTTCTTGTCTTTTTCTGAACCCCATCCCTGCACTCCTCCCCTTCCCCACCCCCCTCCTCCTTCTCCTCCCCAACTACCCCTACCTCCCCCTCCCCCTCCCCCTCTTCCTTCTCCTTTCCCCTGACCTTCCCCTTTCCCCCAATCCCCTCCCCAGCCACCTTCACCCCTTCCTCCCCCTTCTCCTCCCCAACCACCTCTGACCCCACCTCCCCCTCCCCCTTCTCTCCCCCCCCCTTCTCCTCCTGCCCCTCCCCCCCAACCACCTGTGCCTACCGCTCCCCAACCCCCTCCACCTCCCCCTTCTCCTTCCCAACTACCTCCGCCCCACCCTCCTTTTCCCCCTTCTCCTCCCCCCTGACCACCCCCTTTTCCCCATCCCCCTCCCCAACTACCTCCACTTCCCCCTCCAACTCCCCCTCCTCCACCCCAAGCCTCCCCTGCTCCTCCCCACCCCACTGAACCCTCTTCTCCTGTCCCCCATCCTTCGTACAAACGCCCCTGCCCCTGTAGTTTCCCTTCCGATCGTCCTTCCACTCGCCCTTCTACTCGCCCCCGCACTTGCTCTTCCCCTAGCCCTTTCCCTACCAAAAGCCCTTCCCCTTGACCTCTCGCTAGCCCTTCCCCAACTGAATGCCCATAATTGAACCCAGGTGGTCCCTCCTCCGCACCAACATCAGCGCTTGGCTGAGCTCTAAAGATGTAAACCCTTGCTTCCCCTTCCCTTACTCTCCTCCCTCTCCCTCTCCCTCCCCTTCCTCTCACGCCTCTTCCTCTCCCTCCACCTTCCACGCCTTCTCCCCAACTCGGAATCCCTACCATCTCCGCCCCTTCACCCCTCCACCCCGACCCCCCTCGCTCCAATTCCCTCTCTCTTTCCTCTCTCCGCTCCCACCGCTCCCACCGTTCCCTACTTCTGCTGCTCCTCTCCTTTCCTCTCCTCCCGTCTCTGCTTCTGCTTCTGCTCATGCTTCTTCCATCTCTGCTCCTACTCCTCCTCCTTTCCCTGTCCCTGCTTCCACTCCTGTGCCTTCCCCTATCCTTGCTTCTGCTTCTCTTTCTACTCCTATCTCTGCTCCTGCTCCTCCTTCCCCTTTCTCTGCTCCTACTCCTGTGCCTACCCTTATCCTTGCTCCTGCTCCTCTCTCTACCCCTGCTTCTTCTGCTGCTGGGACTACTAACTCCATTGCTCCTCCTGCCCTCTTCTCCTCTTGTCCCTTGCTCCTCTCCTCTTGTCCCTTGCTCCTCTCCTCTTGTCCCTTGCACCTCTCCTCCTGTCCCTTGCTCCTTTGTTCCCCTTCCAGTCCCTGCCACTCCATATCTCCCTTCCAATTCCACTCTCTCTCCCACCCCCTCCATTCCCTTCCCCTGCCCTCTCAACACACTGCTGTTTTCTTCTGTCACTCGCTTACCACCCTCCCCCATTCCCTTACCATCCTCTCCCACTCTCTTACCACTCACTCCCACTTCTCCCCCTCTCCCGTCGCCTCCTCCACCCACTATGCCGCCAGAATTTTGTGCCGTCTCAGAACCATTTCCCACCCCCTCGCCTCCTCCCGCTCCCACGCCCCCCACTCCGCCCACTGCCCCTTCAGTCCTCCCTATTACTTCACCACCTGCCCTTCCCTCCCCATTCAGCTCTCCATTTCCCCACCCCCCTCCCATGCCCCCCATTGCCTGTGCGAGCCTCTCCTCTCTCCTCCTCCGTATCCCCAGCTTCAGCTCCATAGAATCTAATGAATCCTCCTCACTCTCATCATCACTCTCGCCATAGTCACATTCTTGCACATCCTCATCCTCCTCACTGCAATCCATGTCAACACCATTATAGTCACCACCATCACCATCACCACCATCATTATCGTTGTCAGCAGCACCAGCAGAAGCGCCATCAGCAGCAGCAAAAGCAGCAAAAGCAGCAGCGACAGCAGCACCACCATCAGCAGAACCACCAGCACCACCAGCAGCACCACCATCAGCAGAACCACCAGCACCACCATCAGCACCACCATCAGCAGAACCACCAGCACCACCAGCTGATGGTGCTGCCGGCACATCCTCCATTTCTGTTGCCGTTGTTGTTGCTGCAGTACCAGCAGCACCATTACCATCATCAACATCAGCAGCAGCAGCAGTATCAACAGCACCACTTACTGATGTTGCTGCTGGCACATCTTCCATTTCTGTTGCCATTGCTGCTGCAGTGGCTCCTGCTGCTACTGCTGCTCCTGTTACACGTGTTACACCTGTTGCTCCTGCTGCTGCTGTTACACCTGTTGCTCCTGGTGCTACTGCTGCTGCTGGTGTAGTAGTAGTAGCCAACACCCTTCGTTCCTCTCCATGCGCCACAATCTTCAGCCCTATTCGCATCGCCGGTACAATTTCAGTCGATGTTCCCGTACCCGTTGCCCTTGCTGCAGTTGCTGCTCCTGGTGCTCCTCCTACCAATGCTCCTGCAGCTGTAGATTCTCCTGCTGTTCTTCCTACCCCATCTGCCGCAGCTACTTCGCCCCCAGATGTTGCTGTTGGCCTTGATGCTCTTGTTTCACCTGCTCCTTCTGCCTTTTCTGCTTTGGCTTCTGCTGCCAATTGCTGCCCTGCTGCTAACTGCTGCCCTGTTGCTATCTGCTTCCCTGCTGCTAACTGCTGCCCTGCTGCTATCTGCTTCCCTGCTGCTAACTGCTGCCCTGCTGCTAACTGCTGCCCTGCTGCCAACTGCTGCCCTGCTGCTAACTGCTGCCCTGCTGCCAACTGCTGCCCTGCTGCTATCTGCTGCCCTGCTGCCAACTGCTGCCCTGCTGCTATCTGCTGCCCTGCTGCCAACTGCTGCCCTGCTGCCAATTGCTGCTCTCGTGCCAACTGCTGCTGCTCTGCTGCTAGTTTCACCGGCCTCCACTCATCCAAAAGCGACCCCAACCGATCAGCAACCACCGCACCACCACTAACAGCAGCATCCCTCGCATTCCACACAAGCGTATCCCTAAACCCGGCATGGCCTTCCCACTGGTACAACTGAGTAAGTGAGTAGGGCCCCTGAATGCGCCCTTTGGGGTCCGTGTAGCACCACCATGCTTGGTGTAGCAGTTTGAATGGCACGATAATAGTGGTGACGGTGGCAGGAGCAGCCATTGGGACGGTGGTGGTGGGAGCATGAGCAGAGACAGGAGCAGAGACAGGGGCAGGGGCAGCAGCAGGGGCATGGGCATGGGCATGGGCAGCAAGAGTAACAGAGGCGGACGACGCAAGAGGAGAAGGGGTTGAAGTTGTGACAGGAGCAGGCGCAGCAAAGGCAGGTGCAACAGGGGAAGGCATGGAAGAGGCAGGCATGGCAGGGGTAGTTTCAGCTGGGACAGGTTCAGCTGGGGCAGGCACAGAAGGAGCAACAGAAGCAGGCACAAATATGATAGGCGCAGGAGGGGCACGCACAGTTGCAGCAGGAGCAACAGAACCAAGAGCTCCCCCCTTCTCCATGTTCCCACTTTCCCTCCTCTCCCTGCTTCTATTATCCCTCCTCTCTCTGCTCCCACCATCCCTCCTCTCCCTCCTCTCCCTATTCCCACCATCCCTCCCCTCCTTGTTCCCATCTCGATGAACCTCTCTTTGCATCTCCCTGCTTCGCTCACTCCCCCTTTCTCGCCCTGTCTCCCCCTCCCTATCGCGTCCTCTCACTCTATCCCTCTCCCTGCCCCTCGATCCTTCACTATCCTTCTTCTCCCTGGACCTCTCTCTACCCCTCCCCCTCTCCCTCGATCTCTCTCCACCCCTCTCCCTCTCCCTCGATCTCTCTCTACCCCTCTCCCTCTCCCAACTCCTCTCCCTCCTACTCTCTCTTGCCCTCTTCTCATCCCTTCCCCAAACCCTATCGCCCCCCATGTCCCTTCCTCTTTCTCGCTCTCTCTCCTCATACCTCCCTCTCTCACCTCCTCTGCTCCGCTTCCCCTCCCTCTCCCTCTCCCCATCATCCCGCTCCCCCCCTTCCCTCCCTCTCTTCCTATCGTGAGTGCTGCCCCTATCCGAATTCTCTCCATACCCCGACTGCTGCTGCTGTTGTTGTTGTTGCTGTGGCTGTTGTTGTTGCTGTTGCTGTTGTTGTTGCTGTTGCTGTTGCTGTTGTTGTTGCTGTTGCTGTTGTTGTTGTTGCTGTTGCTGTTGTTGTTGCTGTTGCTGTTGTTGTTGTTGCTGCGGCTGCTGCTGCTGCAGCTGCTCCTGCTGACTCGAGTTCACTCCTTGCCCTTTGCTAATACTTCCCCTGAAACCAGCATTAGGGTCAGCATTAGCAGCAACATCGGCAGCAGCAGCAGCAGCAGTAGTATCAGCACCACCGGCACTACCAGCAGAAAGAGCAACAGCAGCACTTGCACCAGCATTAACAGCAGGAGCAGCAGCAGCAGAAGTAGCAGCAGCAACAGGAGCAACGAGAACAGTGGCAGAAGCAGAAGCAGCAGCAGCAGGAGCAACAGCAGCAGCAGCAGGAGTAGGAACAGCAGGAGCAGCAGCAGGGACAGCAGGAGTGGCAGAAGCAGGTGCAATGCCGCTTGCCGAACCAGGCGTTTCCACCAGTGAAGGAAGAGAGTGAGGGGACGTTGATGTTGAAGTGCAAGGTTTCCCCCCTGTGGGGGAAAGTGCGCCCTCTGGGGGAGGCGGTTTCCCCCCTGTAGGGGGAAGTGCGCCCTCTGGGGGAGGTGGAAGAGAGTCATTCGCCCCTGAGGTGCAAGGCTTCCCCCATGCTTGGGGAGGAGCGCCCCCTGGGGGAGGCGGAAGTCCCCCTGTGGGCGGAGGAGCGCCCCCTGGGGGAGGCGGAAGTCCCCCTGTGGGCGGAGGTGCTCCCCCTGTGGGCGCAGTTGCTCCCCCTGTGGGCGCAGTTGCTCCCCCTCGGGGTGGAACAGCCCCTCCTGGGGAGAAAACGGCTGGGGGAAGAGGGGAAAACGTGTGTGGGGAGGGAGCGACACCTGGAGGGAGGAGTTGGTCTTCTGGTGACTCATAGGTGGAGAGAGGTATGAAGTCTGGCGGAGAAGTCAACTTTTGAGACGCATCAAAAGGTGATTGACTGCTAGAGAGAGGTATGAAGTCGGGAGGAGCCGGCAAATTCTGAGACGCATCAAAAGGTGATTGGCAGCTGGAGAGGGGTATGAAGTCGGGAGCGGTCAGGGGACTATGCGCATTCGGAGGGAAAGGGGATGGATGGGCGGAGGCAGGGGAAGGATGGGCGGAGGATGGGGAAGGATGGGCAGGGTAGGGAGAGGGATGGGTGGTGGGGTGGAGTTGGGGAGGCTGTGGGTTGAGAGGAGGGCATGGGTGGGGAGGGCGTATGTGGGGTGGGGGCATTTGCGGAGGGGACATTTGGGGAGGGGGGATGTGGAGAGGGGGCATTTGGTGAGGGGGGATGTGGGGAGGGGACACTTGGGGAGGGGGAATTTGGGAAGGGGGGATGTGGGGAGGAGAAAGTGGGTGAAGACTTGAAGGCGCGGTGTAGGAAGGAGGATGGGCGGAGGGGGGGTGGGAGGAAGGGGGCTGTGAAGAGGGGGGTTGGGAGGAGGGGGCATGGGCAGAAGAAGGAGGAAGTTGGGTGTGAGGCAGTTGGGTGTGAGGCGGTTGGGCGTGAGGCGGTTGGGTGTGAGGCGGTTGGGTGGGAGGCGGTTTGGTGGGAGGGGCAAGAGAGGGGTGCGAGAGCGGGTGGTTAGGGGCAGAGGAGCCGTCAGCATCAACATCAAGGAGTACGGGGCGGTTGAGAAAGGTGAGACGGTAGTCTGGGCTCCGAATATCCATGAGGAGACGGTGGGACTCCACGAATGTGGTGGGAGGAAGATAGAAAAAACAATGAGAAGAGGGAAGAGAGAGAAAAGAGAATGGAGGGAAGAGAGAGAAAAGCATAGAGAACGGAGAAAAAAAGAGAACGGAGAAGAAAGGGAGAATTGAGAGGAGGGAAAAGAGAGAATATAGATGCGGAGAGGGGAGGAGAGATGAAGAAAGAGAGAGGTGGGGAAGAGGGAGGAGAGGGAGGGAAAGGGAGGGAAGAAGGGGGAACGGAGGAGAGGCATGCAATGGTGGAGAAGAAAGAGAGAGACAAGATAGAGGGATAGAGAGGAGCAGCAGGGACACAGTTAAGGAGAAACAGCAGGGGGGCACAAGACACACCGCAGCACAGAGACGCAAAACAGGAAGCGGGAGGATCAAGGAAGGCAAGAAAGGAAGAAGGGAAGAAGGAGGAGACAAGAAGGCATGAAGAGGTTTGATTGAGTGGACGGGTAATTTTTTAGGCGCCTCTTGGAGGCGACTTCTGACTTTTGAGGCGCCTCAAAAATCACCTCAATGCTTGTGGAGGTTTGATTGAGTGGACGGGTGATGGAGGAGTGGAGCTTCGTGGGTGTGAGAAGGACAAGTGAGTGAGCAAAACCAAGTGAATTAACGAGAAACGAGTGCAGGGAGGAGAGTGCGAAAAAATGCAAGGCAGTGAGGGGAGTGATCGGATATTTTTTTGCTTTCTTCAGCTGCTGCACTCGCTCCAGAGTTTGCTGGTACTCCTGCATGCATGGATAGGCACAGACAATAGAGAGGAAGCGAGTCGGGTTTAGAAGCAATAGGCGCACTCAACGATGAAGTGCACGTGAAAATGTGTTGCAGAGCCTAATATTAGTCGACAAAAAAAGAGACAAGGGAAGGGATCCAGGTTTAGAAGCAAAACGTGCACGGAAAATAATGTGCACGGAAAATGAATTGCAGAGGTGCATGTAAAACAGTAGTGCATGTTATTTCAAGTACATGCACATCTTACATGCACATCTTACATGCACATCTTACATGCACATCTTACATGCACATCTTACATGCACATCTTACATGCACATCTTACATGCACATCTTACATGCACATCTTACATGCACATCTTACATGCACATCTTACATGCATTTCGACTCAAAGTACGTAGTACACTCGCTCACCGTCATTGAGATGTCTCAAATCAAAACTTCATAGAAAAACTGTGTTAGGGAGATATGTTGTATACATATATCAGGTATGTGCGTTATATAGTTACGTTGTATATCCATTAGTACACTTACCATTTCAAAGAAGATATGCCTTATCTGCCGCACCTGCTCCTCCAACTTGTCCTGAGAACGTTGGGAAAGAGGGGGAAAGAAGGGGGTGTTGGTTGGCATGGAGAGGGGATGGAAGAGGGTTCATGCCTCAGCTGGCGCACCTGCTCCTCCAACTTATCCTGGGGCAATCCAGGGGTGGTGGTGGCGTGGTGGATGGGGAGAAATGGGGAGCCAGGGTTTAGGGTTCACGGTGAGGGGATGGAAGAGGGGTTCGGCCTCAGCCGGCGCACCTGCTACTCAAACTTGTCCAAAAAAATTGGGAAAGAAAGGATGAGATGGGGGGTGGTGGAAAGGGCGGGACGAGGGGAGGGGAGTGTTAGTTTACAAGTGTTACGAACGGTTTAGGGTTAACTCTTTGCGAGGTCCCACGCCTCCCCTATTGACATCCCTGCTGCGTCGGTGCGACGTAGCTGATTTGGGGGAGGAGCTTTTCCTTACCTCGCTCGAATTGGTGTGTAAACTCATCTTCGATGATGTAGCTCGTCAACGTGTCATCGTTGAGCACCTCGCACACATCCGATAGCTTCACCATCCGGCGCAACAGATTGTAACGTTCGCGAAGTCCCTTGGTGACGTGAGTGATGTACGAAGTCCATATGGTTGGTACTAAGAGTAAGTGCGTTCCTTACCCATATAGTTGGTACTAAGAGTAGGTGCGTTATTTATCCATATGGTTGATACTAAGAGTAAGTGCGCTATTTACCTGTATGGTTGGTACTAAAAATAAGTACGTTACTTACCCATATGGTTGGTACTAAAAATAAGTGCGCTATTTATCCATATGGTTGATACTAAGAATAAGTGCGTTATTTACCCATATGGTAGATACTAAGAGTAAGTGCGTTACTTACCCATATGGTTGGTACTAAGAATAAGTGCGTTACTTACCCATATGATTCGTATTAAGAGTGCATACACCACACGAACAACGTCTAGCACAACATTGTCGCCACGTAGCAACAAGGCGGCTTGTCAACGCCGCAACGGCAGGTGACCCACACACATGCACGTCACCTACCAAAGTAGTTGTAGGCCTGCACGACAGACAACAACGTGCACGTTGTGCACGTGATGCAAATTACGCAGGTGCAAGGATGTAAGCACGTGATGCCGTTTCCGCAGGTCTGCATTCGCCAATATCGCCTAAGGTTATTTTGCTGGTGGTGGTGCTGCTGCTACTGCTGGAAACAGCATGGATTATCAACTCACCATGAAGAATGGAAGCAATGACCCTCGTCGCACCAGCTCTCTGACCTCTGCCACCTCGGGAGCTCAAAACACCTCGGCTGAGGACCTCGCCACGAATCACCTATCATGGCAGCTTTTACGGCCATCCATTATCGTTACCAGCATCACTTCTTGTTATCGACTCACCATGAAGAAGGGAGGTAGTGACCCTCGTCGCACCAACTCTTTGACCTCCGCCACCTCGGGAGCGCAGAATGCACCGTCGGAAAACTCCGCCACACTGCACCTGTCCAGGCGGTTCTTACGGCCGTCCAATACTGTCACCAACATCACGTGGTGGTGGTGGTGGTGCTGCTGCTGGTGCTGTTGGTTCTGAGGTATGTTAAATCCTGGTGGGCCCAAGCCTAAGTTGGGTGCCACTGAGGTGAAATACTCAACATCTGGGCAAGGGGAAGCCACGGGATGGACAAGGGTATAGGGTTTAGGGTTGAAGGTAGCAGACGTTACAACAAGCACGAGCTTACTTGTAACGAAGGACCATCATGCTTGTAACAAGGACGGGCTTACTTCTACTAACAAGCACAAGCTTACTTGTAACGAGGACAAGCTTGTACCCCGAATAGTTCACCATCTCAAACCCATCCGAACACCGCAGACGAGCCAAACCCCCCACCAGCATCCCTCTTAACGCCTCTGCACACCTCTCCAAGCTTCCTCCCGGCTCAGCAGCCTTCTCTAACCCCAGCCTCTCAGCAACCTCCATGTGCCGGCGCTTGAGGTGAATCTGGGTCAGATTGCGATCGTTGATGGCTGCATAGGGCGCTCCTTCTACTGCTGCCCCATCGTCCCCACCATCATTATCGTCGTGGGTATGTGCATGTGCATCCGCATGAGCATCACCATGGCCATGGCCATGCCCATGGCCATGCCTATGCCCATGCCCATGCACATGCCTATGCCCATGCCCATGCCCGTACCCGTGCCCGTGTCCGTGCCCGTGCCCGTGTCCATGCCCATGCCCATGCACATGCCCGTTTCCAAGCCTGTTCCCAAGCCTATTCGCAAGCCTTTGGCTGAGCCCTTGTCCCCGCACATGCCCATGCCCATGCCCATGCCCATGTGTATCACTAACATCTCGATCCTTAGAACCAGCACTCCTCTGTCCTCTAAACCCATGCCCTTCCTCCTCCTCCACCCATTCCTCCTCTTCTTCTTCCTCCTCTTCCTCCTCTTCCTCTTCCTCCTCATAAAAGTCGTCTTCCTCCTCTTCCTCATCTCTATCACCCCACCCTCGACCTCCACCTCCTCCTCCTCCTCTTCCTCCGCCCCTCCCTCCTCTCCTGCCCCCACTCCCTCTGCCCCCTCCCCCTGCTCCTCTTCCCCTTCCAAACCCCCCTCTGCTCCCCCTTCCCCTTCCCCCTCCCCTTCCTCTACCCGCTCCTCTCCCCCTTCCTCCCCACTCTCCTCTTCCCACTCCTCTCCCCCACCCTCTCCCTCTGCTTCCCTCTCTCCCCCTCGTACTCCCCTTCTCCATACCACCAAATGCACAAGGCACAAAATCGGGATCACTAGCATCCCTGCCAGCCCCTCCCCCTCCCTCTCCTCCCTCTCCCCCCTCTCCTCCTCCCACTCCTCCTCCTCCTCTCCCCGACCCTTTCTCCAAACCTCTTCCCAAACCTCTTCCCAAACCTCTTCCCAAACCTCTCGCCAACCCTCTCCCCGCATCTTGCCTCCCACGTCCTCTTCCCATCTTCACCCAACTCCCTCCTTCCCCACCATCACACCCCGAAACACTCACATCCTTCCCCTTCGAATCACACAGCGGCAACTGCTGCTGCTGTGGGAAAACGTGCTTCGGCCTTTGCCCTCTCGATCCTTCCATTGCTGCAGCCGAAACCCCGCCAACCTCTGTCGCAACTCCTCCTACCTCTGGACCAGGCTTTGAGCTTCCAACCAGCTTAAAGCTCCCAACCTTCTTGAGTCTGCTTCCATACCTAACCCCAACCGCTCTTTTACGCCGTACAGGTATGTTGTATCTTCTGGCTAGAGGAATATCCTCCTCCTCATTCCCACTATCACTCAAATCAAAGTAGTTACTCTTCGCCAACCCTCTGCCCTCCTCCTGTGCTGCTGCTGCTGCTGCTCTATGCTTCCTCCCAAGCACAGAACCAACTCCCAGGGTACTATTCTCACCTTCACTCTCACTCTCACTCTCACTCTCACTCTCACCTTCACGCAGCTCCCTGTATTCAACTGCCCTCCCGCCTTGACCTTCGCCCTCCTCTCCTCCTCCTCTTCCTTCTCCTCCTCCTTCCTCATCTTCCTCATCTTCCTCATCTTCCTCCTCTGCTACCTCTTCACTCCCTTCCTCCTCCTCCTCATCCCGCTCATCGTCCTCCTCCTCTGCTCCCCCTCCTTCCCCCATCACTCCCTCTCCCTCTCCCTTCCCCTCCCCCCTCCCCCTCACCTTCCCCCTCCACCTCCTCTTCCTCCTCGCCCAACATACCCAGCTCGATCCCACACAGCCACCTCTCTCTGAGAGAGGCCCAGTCATCAGGAGCCTTCCCCACGTCGATCATCAACCGCTCCCGATCACGCATCACCGAGTGATAGTCCTTGAAATACCAAGCAGGGGAGAATGTATCGTCCATGTCTAGAACCCTCTGTGAGAGGCACAGACAGGGACAGAGACATAGACACAGAGACACAGAGAGAGCGAGATGAGAGGCGGAATACAAGAGAGACTGATCACCAAGTGACAGTCCTAGAAGTACCACGCAGGGGAATCCGTATCATCCATGCTTAGGAGTATAGGACCCTCTGTGAGAGATATAGAGAGAGGAAAACACAAACGAGAGGAGAAACTCACGCCAGTGGGAGTCCTCTCGATGCCGTGTTGAATCATCGCCAACTTCACATAGCACGCGCCGCACAGCCCCAGAACCTTCCGTCCTCCTTCCTCCAGTTGCTCCAGCATCCACCCCACACTCCCTTCCCTCCTCTCCTCGCCCTCCCTGCCCCACCAGATACTCTCTCCCTCTGAAAACCCCTTCTCCTCCCTATTCTCCCTGACATTCTGCCCCTTATCCTCACTTTCCCTCTCCTTTGCACTCTCTCGCCCCCTTTCCCTCTCTGGTCCCTCCTCATTCTCCTTTTCTGTTCTATTCTCTCTGCCGCCATCACTCCCTCCCTCCCCATCCGTCCTTGCTTGCCCACTCTCTTTTCCCTGCTTCCGATCCCTCTCCCTCCCACCTTCCTCATCCCCCTTCACCTCGTCCTTCTCTCCGCCATCCCCATCCCCACCTTCCATCTCCTTCTCCCTCGCCTCCTCCTCCCCATCTTGTTTCATGGGCGCCTCTACATTTAATTCATCCCCAGTTACCCCCTCCATCTCCTTCCCCCTCGCCTCCTCCTTCCCATCCTGCCTTTCCCCACCAACAGACCCACTCCCCTCCCAACTTCTTCTCCTGCCCTTTCCTCCCTCCAAACCCGAAACCCTGCCCAAAGCAAGCCGGGCAGCGAACTGAGCTGCCCGAGAAAGTTTCAAGGTCCAGATTCTTTCCACTCGGGCAGAAGAAGCAGGGTCCATCCAGACATGGCGGCGCAGGGAGCGAAGGCAGCGCCAGCAGAGGGATGTGGGGCAGAGGAGGCAGAGGAAGAGGGAGGAGCGACGACAGGCACGGGAGCAGGAGTGCCACACTGTGGGGGGGAGACAGGGAGGGAGGGGTAGCGAGGAAGGGAGAGCACAGAGAGGGACGGAAAGGGAAAAGGGAGGTGGAGCAAAGCAGACTGAGGAAGAGCAAGGAGCGACGGCAGGAAGGCACAGGGGAGCAAGGGTATGTGGAGGAGGGATGCGCAGAAAGCATAGTGCATCAATCGAAAAAACAAAAAACAAAAAACTCCTTGCCCAACACCGCATGTAGTGTCAGCAGAACTGCATGAGCCTCAAAATACCCCTTGTCCTTGAGCCTGAAACCTTAAGCATATCCAAAAACCAAAACCCTAACGTCACTAGGAAGCATGGACTACATTACACCACTCACCACAAGTCCATGGGGCAGAAGACTCAAAAACCTTTTCGGGCAGCCCGGTGCACTCCGGATGGTACGCCTTGGGGCAACCCCTGAAAGATCAAAGGGGAAAAAAAATACATTGACGAGACGAATGGAGGTCTGTACACCACCAACTCCAGGGTATGATGAATTACTAGCACCCCACCTCGCCCCTCATCCCACTATCATCCCGCTCATCTCTTCGCATGCCACCAGTTCAACGCTATCATAGCACACAAAGAAGTAGTCCTCGCATTGCAAATCTCTCTGCTTTATTCACACCACATACCTCACCTCTAATGATCGCTAACCTTGCCGTACTTCCCACCTGTCACCTCTCATCGTCCCTTTCATCCCACGTATCATCTCACTCACCTCTTATCGCACGCCACCAGGTCACCGCCATCATAGCACACAAAGCAGTAATCTTCACACTGCGCATCTCCAGCCCACCTCCTACCTCACCTCTAATGTCGCCCCTACTCCGACTCTCATCCTACTATCATCTCACTCACCTCTTATCGCACGCCACCAGCTCACCGCCATCGTAGCACAAAGAAGTAATCCTCACACTGCACATCTCCCCATCCCACACCAAATACCTCACCTCACCTCACCTTACCTCACCTCACCTCACCTCACCTCCAATGTCGCCCTTCATCCCACCTATCAGCTCTCTTACCTCTCACTCAACTCTCATCTGTCATCCCACTCACCTCTTATCGCATGCCACCAGGTCACCGCCATCGTAGCACACAAAGCAGTAATCCTCACACTGCATATCTCCCCCCCCCACCTCCTCCTCCTCCCCCCTCCCTTCACCCCCCTCTCCCTCCACTCCCTTCCCCTCCACCACTCCTCCTCTCTCCTCCTCCTTCTCTGCCACTGCTCCCCATAACAACAACTCCACAGCAGTCTGTATGTGCCTTTTTCGAGCATCCCCAGCATTCTCTCGTGACGATGATACCACAGCCGTTTGGGCTTGCGAAGCGGCCACCAGAGCAGCCTGTGCTTTCCGAAAGGACACCGCAGTTGCTGCCTGTTCCGCTGTCGTGCAGGCATCGTGCAACAGCCGGTTCAGCTCCTTGGAAAGCCTGGGAGCTTTTGGAGGTGTTCTGTGGGAGACCGCTTTTGGAGGTGTTGTGTGGGAGACCGCTTTTGGAGGTGTCGAGTGGGAGACCGCTTTTTGCGGCTTCTGAGATGTTGCATGGAGGACCGACTCTTGAGGTGCCTCACAAGCAACGTGGGAGACCGCTGCTGCCTCAGAAGCTGTCCTGAAGGTGCCATGACCAGCTGCTTCTCCTTCCCCTCCTCCCTTCCTTCCTTCTCCTTCTCCTCCCCCTCCTCTCTTCCTTCCTTTTCCTTCTCCTCCCCCTCCTCCCTTCCCTCCTTCTCCCTTTCCTCCCCCTCCTCCACCTCCACCTTCTTCTTCAGCTGCCTCTGCTTTCTCCACTCCTCCGTTCTGCTGCCCTCCCGTTGCTCCATGCCCTACCGTTCCACTCTGCTCATCAACCCCCGTGCAAGCACTCTTGCTAATTCCACTCATCTCCCCCCCAGCCCTCGCCGCCTCCCTACCCCAGTCTCCTTCCTCCTTGCCTTCCTTATCCCCCCTCTCCCTATTTTCCTCCTTCTCCTCGTCCTCCTTCCCCTTCCCCTCCCTCCCCTCTTCCCCCTCCCCCCCCTTCTTCCCACCATTGATCTCCAACTCAAGTGCTCCTCTCTGCTCCTTCTCGCTGTCTTTCTCCAGCTTACACGCTCCTCCTCCACCGCCCTCTCCCTCTTCCACTCCACCCTTCACCTCCACCGCTTCTTTCTCTTCTTCTTGCCAGAGATTTATCTGGCCCCCCTCCTCCCTTTTGCCCTCCCCACCCTCCTCCTCCCTCATATCCTCCTCCCCCTCTTCCCCCTCGTCGCCCTTCTTCCCACCATCTGTCTCCATCTCACAAGCCCCTCCACGGCCCTCTCTCTCCTCCACCCTCCCCTTCACCTCCACTGCTTCTGCCAGCCATTGCTGACCCTCCTCCTCCCCCTCACCATCCTCCCTCCCTGCGTACTCCTCTCCACCATCAATCTCCATCTCACACTCTCCTCCACACGCCTCTCCTTCCTCCACTCTCTTTTTCCCTTCAACTGCTTCTGCCTGCCAGTGCTTTATCCGACCCTCCTCTCCCTCCTTCCCCTTGCCCCCTTCTCCCTCCTCGCCCTTCTCCCCAACGTGTTTCTCCACCTCACACGCCCCTCTACAGGCCTCTCCCTTGCCCACTCGTGTTTTGAGTCGACTCAAAACACGGCCCTTCTCCCCAACCCCATCGTGTTTCTCCACCTCACACGCCCCTCTACAGGCCTCTCTACAGCCCTCTCTCTCCCCCACTCTCCCCTCCACTTCCACTGCTTCTTCTTCTTTCACCTGCCAATGCTTTATCTGCGCCTCCCCTTCCTCTTGCCTCTCCTTTCCTTCTCTCACCTCTACCTCCACCTCCTGCTTCTCTCCATCCAGTCCTTCTTTCTCCTCTTCTCTCTCCCCTTCTCTCTCCTCTTCTCTATCCTTCCTTCTTACCACTCCACTCTCCATCTCCTCTTCCAATTTCCCCCCCTCCATAAACGTACTTCCTGCCTCCTCATTGACCTCTTCTTCCATCTCCACTTCGCTTTCTCTCACCTCCCCCTCCTCCTCTTCCTCCTCTCCTCCAACTTCGCCCACCTCACCCTCCTCCACTTCTTCCTCCTCCTCTCCCATATCCATCCCCTCTGCAATCTCTTCCCCCTCTTCCACGTCCTCCTCCCCTTCTTCTCTTCCTTCCCCCTCACCTTCCTCCTCCCCTTCCTCCTCTCTACTCTTACCCCTCATGCGGTTCACTGCGGTTCTTATCACTCCCTCTCCCCCACTACCCACCTCCACTGGCTCCTCTTTAACCCTTCCACCACCCCCGCTCCCTCGCACCACTCTTCCTTCCTCCTCCTTTTCCTTCTCCTTTTCCTCCACTCTATCCACATCCTTCATCCGATTTACCTTACTTCCTATCACTCCCACTCCCACATCACCCAACATCATTGGCTCTTCTTTAACCTTTCCACCCCCACTTCCTTGCACCACGCGTGTTGCTCCTCCTCCCTCCACTGTTCGCAGTCCCCCAAGCACACACAGAACACTAACGCTTGCACTCATAGCACCCGCACCAGTAGCACTTGCACCCGCAGCACACGCATTCACTTTATTCGCCTCCCCACTACAACGTCTTAAACGCATCTGAGCCAAATTTGACTTAAATGCAGCTGATACGACAACAACACCAGCAGCTCCCAGTGTGCTAGCGCCAGGATCACCTGATTTTTGAGGCGCCTCAAAAACTGACTTCGTTGCAGCTGATACAACGACACCAGCAGCAGCAGCAGCAGCACCTGATGTGCTAGCGCTTTGATCACCTGATGTGGCTACCCCATGCGCAACAGCAGAACCGCCGCCATTAGGCACGGTTACCGCATGAGCAACGTCACTCCTCACTCCCTCCTCTCCCAACTCCACTGCTTCCTCCTTCACAAGCACAGCCCTCCCTTCCCCTCGTGCACCCATTGAAGCGACACCCCTAGATGACTTCTGAGGCTCCACCGCACCTGTGCCATTCTTGAGGACTTTTAAACCCGACACACGCACAGCCCCCCCTTCCCCAGCTGCACCCATAGAAGCTAAACCCTGAGAAGCCGTTCGAGTTGCCACAGCACCTCCAAATCCCAGTGCTCCCAGGCCCGTTCGTCTCACGGTCAAACGCTGCTCCCTCGCAGATCTGGCAGGACTGTCAGCCCGGTTCTCCACACTCTTCCCTCTCTGCGTGCTGCCGCCACTGCCATGACCGCCTGCACTCCCCACTGCTCCCAGCCCCGTTCCTCCCACCGGCAGCCTTCCCTTGGCAGAGCTAGCAGGGCGGCCAGACACACTCTCTACAATCTTCCCTTTCTGCATGCTGCCGCTGCCATCCTGGCGTGAATTTCCCAGCCCTGCTCGTCCCACCGGCATTCTCCCCTTGGCAGAGCTAGCAGGGCGGCCGGACACACTCTCTACAATCTTCCCTTTCTGCATGCTGCCGCTGCCATCCTGGCGTGAATTTCCCAGCCCTGCTCGTCCCTCCGCCAGATTCCCTCTAGCAGCACAGACGGGCCCACTCTGTACAGTCTTCCATCTCTGCGTGCTGGCGCTGCCATTCAATCCTGCACCCTGCAGTGCTCCCAGTCTTGTTTGCCCCACTGGCAGCCCACTTTTGGCTGGGCTGGCAGGGCTGGCAGGGCAGGCAGGGCGGCCGGACACACTCTCTACAATCTTCCCTTTCTGCATGCTGCCGCTGCCATCCGAGCGTGAATTTCCCAGCCCTGCTCGTCCCTCCGCCAGATTCCCTCTAGCAGCACAGACGGGCCCACTCTGTACAGTCTTCCATCTCTGCGTGCTGGCGCTGCCATTCAATCCTGCACCCTGCAGTGCTCCCAGTGTTGTTTGCCCCACTGGCAGCCCACTTTTGGCTGGGCTGGCAGGGCTGGCAGGGCAGGCAGGGCGGCCGGACACACTCTCTACAATCTTCCCTTTCTGCATCCTGCCGCTGCCATCCGAGCGTGAATCTCCCAGCCCTGCTCGTCCATCCGCCAGATCCCCTCTAGCAGCACAGACGGGCCCACTCTGTACAGTCTTCCATCTCTGCGTGCTGCCGCTGCCATCCAATCCTGCAACCCCCAGTGCTCCCAGGCCTGATCCTCCCACCGCCAGATGCTGCGTCCTGGCAGCAGGGCTGACAGGGCTGCCAGCCACACTCTCAACAATCTTCCATCTCTGCGTGCTGCCCCTGCCATCCAAGCCTGAAACCCCCAGTGCTCCCAGGCCTGATCCTCCCACCGCCAGATGCTGCGTCCTGACAGCAGGGCTGACAAGGCTGCCAGCCACGCTCTCAACAAACTTCCCTTTCTGCATGCTTCCGCTACCATCCAAGCCTGAAACCCCCAGCACGCCCAGCCCCGTATAACCACCCCCTTTTCCCCGTTCCCTTTCTCCAACACCCCTCTCTGTACGGGCACTTGGCGTCCCCTCCTGCCTCGCCGCAGTTGCTGTGACATCCACAGCCTTCCCCTTCCCTCCACCAGCGCCCACATCCGTTTTTCCACCCAGCTTCCCATTCGACCTCCCAAGCCTTCTTCTCTTCTCCTCCTCGTAACAATGATCCGCCGCCTCTTCCGCTTCAAGTAAATCTGGCTCTCGTTTCACCCTCACTTCAGGGCCCCCAGCCGCCACGTCAACCCTCCCAACTCCGCTTCTCTTCTCCTCCTCCTCGTGCTGATTAACAGCTGCATCAAATCCATCCGGATCCCTTTTCACAGGACCCCCATCTTCCTCCTCCATCTCCCTCTTCTTTTCCTCCTCTTTCTCATCTTCTTCCTCCTCCTCTAGCTCCTCCCCCTCTTCCTCCTCTTCCACCTCCTCCTCTTCGACTTCCTCCCCCTCCTCGATTTCCTCCCCCTTCTCCACCCCCCCCCTCCTCCCCTTCCTCCCCTTCCTCCCCTTCCTCCCCTACCTCTCCCTCCTCCATTTCCTCCTCCTTTTCCACGCCCCCCTCCTCCCTTTGCCCCCATTCCTCCCCCACTTCCCCCTCCTCCCCTTCCTCCCCCTCCTCCCTCATCTCCACCTCCTCTCCCTCCTCCAATTCGACATACTCCTCTACAACCATCACTTCTTCACTCAATGACTCCTCCCCTCCCTCCCCCCTCCACCTATCCATCCGCACCCCTTCCTCTTCAGGCTCCGCTTTCACTGCCACCAGTCCACGTGTATTTTGAGTCACTGTCACAGTTCCACGTGTATTTTGAGTCACTGTCACAGTTCCACGTGTATCTTGACTCACTGCCACCGTTCCACGAGTAATTTGAGTCGACTCAAAACGCACCCCTTCCTCCTCAGGCTCCGTTTTTACTGTCGTCATTCCCTTTCCTGGTTTTCCTCCTGCCATATCCTGTCACGTTGTATCCTTGAGTCGCCTCAGAAACCCACCTCTTCAGGCTTCGCTTTCAACGTCAACCATTTTCTCTTGCGATTCTCCTCGCACCATCTCCTGTCACGGTGTAGCCTTCACCATATGTTGTAACCGTGTAACCTTCGCTTTCCTGTAACGCCTTAAGCGCTTCGTCTTCTCTTCTGTGGTTGTCACACCGTCGGGTCAACTCCTAGATTCTATTTACACGCTCATTAAACCGTCTAGAGACCAGTTACCCATGACCAATCCCTTCTGACCACCACAATCGCCAGTCCACTATTCACCTGTCGCCACTTCGCCGCCTTCGCCACTTACGCGTTGGTAACTTCTCGGTCCGACTCAAAAGTCCTTCGGTCCCTGGTCACACCTTACTAGCCACTAGGTGTGCTCTGAGTGTGACACACGAAACACATCTCTCATCCCTGTTACGACCTTCACCACCGCCTTTAACGCGGATGTTACAACCGCAGTCAGTCTCCGGTAAGGTTACGTTAACGTCTCAAGCTACCAGTCAAGGTTAGCTCTTGCTGGTTAATTAAAGGTTCTTATGCTCGAGACTCGTCTAAACATCTCGCACGCCAGCTCGATCAAGATACCTGATTCTTAACTCGCCGGCAGGGTTACAGTCGCCTGATATGCTAGTCACCTTTCCCGGAAACGGACGATTCAAAACTGCGAAGTAGCTGCTCGAATTCGGGTTTGCCTCGTGCAGTAATACCGTGCTGTCCGCTTTTACAGAACACAACTTAAAAGCTAATAAAAGCTCTCTGCTACGCGAACGACCTATTCCTGCACTAGGCTTTCGGAGCTAGCTAAAAGGCAACGATTGAGTAGCGTGTTTATGCCTCAAGCCTAGAGCTCACTGAAAGGCGGCAGAACTAAGTGACTCTGACAGCGCCAACTGCACTTCAGCTGTGACTGACAAATTGATGACAGACCGCCTTTTGAGGGGCTGAGCAATCAACCAGGCCTGGGTTCTGTACTCGTTTGTAACAAGTTCGGTTGTGTTTACATGGACGTTCGTAAAACAGGGGTATTTTCGCCCTTGTTTTCCACCGTGGAACTTGATTTGTTATTGCTAAGGGTTGGGACAGGAATTCTACCTCACTATAAATGACTAACATTTGACAAGTTTACTGCTTGACATTCTCTGCACTTCTTGCGGTATAACAAAACACCACTGAACGTTGGACATTGTTCCTAGCTAAGGACACTGCAAGAAGAACAAGCAACCTCCAAGAGCCAGATAGAAAGTCCTCAGGCTGGACGAAGGCCAAGAGTGGTGCCAGGAGAACTAGAAGACATCAGGATGGAAGCGGCCCGACATAGCTGCATGGTTCACAGCATCATTGGCTTGGCGAAGGTGGAGGTTGAGGGCGTAGTTAGCCACCTGCACATCAAACGAGAAATGGGTGAGAGATTTGTCAATTGCAGCAAAAAAGGCCAGCTCAAAGAAAAAATCCATCAATTTAGAAAGAAAATTAAAAATATTGAATCAGAGCATAGCTTACCTCCAGCTTGTGCACTTGTTCTTGATACTGGGCCAGCGCTTGTCTCAACCTCCCAACCTCCTCGTTCTGTGCCTGATGCTCCTTCTGCTTCTCGTGTTGGATCGCCACTGCTCGCTTCAAAATCTGGTTCTCCTTGCTCAATACACCCACTTGCTGCTGCAGCACTTCAACTTCTGAAGCTGATTGACGTGCCTGCAGATAGAAGCAAAAACAACGACATTCAGACCCGAGAGTATCATAAAAAGAGCCCGCTACTCGTAGACTAAAAAAATGGACATGCGCGAATCCGAACACTCAAGCTTCCTACGTACCTGTTCCGCGTGAATTGCGAAAGCACTTGATTGATCCGGATGCTTAGCATCCAAAGCCTCCTTCTCAAAAGCTTGCAGCACAAGTAACGCTTTCTGCCGAGCGTCGTCCACGCTTGCTGCTGTCATCATCTCCCGCACTGCTGCGTCTGCCCATTTTGCAGTCAGACCTGCCGACTCCGCTCTCTGTGCTTCCTCTGCGGTTGACTTTCGTGAATCAGCTTCTGCTGACATGAAGTCAGATGCAGTTGTGTATCCATGATTGTCTGAATGAATTACTGGAGTCTGCGATGGGCAAACTTCCAGGTTAGATCTATCCTGAAATTCTTCTGCGCCTCCATTGGAAACGCCGATTCTTGGATCTGACGCAAAAGCTCCTTCTATTTCCTGATGCTGATGCTGCTGAATTGATGTCTGCTGGAAAGGATTTGCAGTCGAAGGGACCTTGTGAGAAGATGTTTGATGATAGCGTCTGGTTCTTTTCGTCAGTGGAGGGGATGGGACGTAAACGCTGTCGTCGAAAATCGATCGCTTTCCACAAACAAGAGCCGACATGATTATCGAGCGAGAAGCTCACAGAACAGTCTCGGCAACTCGAACTTCTATTGAAATAATTAAGTACAGCCCTGATGAAGTAGATTTTTCGCACAAACAAACCGCAAAGCTCGGTGACAGTCAACGGTAGCTGGGTGATGGCTTCTCGGCTCAGTCAGATGTCTAGAGCTGAAACAAATGAAATGCTCCATCTGACCTTCCAATGTGATGGCTGTATTTGAAGGACTCGGCCTTGGCTGTGGGATAGATGATGCCTTGCTTCACGATGGTTCTGGGCTGGTTGAGTGATTTGCTTGTTGCTGGTGGATGGTGGTGAAAAGGTTCGGTTCGGTGAAATGATTTGTCAATGAGCAGCTGGAGAAGTGAGGGACGCGTTGCGTGAGAGCAGAGAGCATCATAGGCATCATGCCTACGCTGCAAATTGCACGTTCTCGTTTCTCCTTTCCGTTCTGTCTGTCATGTACAAAATTTGACGGGGAAATCCAGACTTGACGGAATGGCCCCCATACTGACAGGAGTTAAGGGCGTGTGTGATTTCGGTATAAGTTTGCGTTTTAAAATCGAATGTAGCATCTGAACATGAGGTGAACAAAATTCGACTTTCGTTGATGGTAAAGTTCGATCCGCGCGTCTCGCAAACGGTTGAAGCACAACCACACACCCAAGTTCGATTTTGCACGTTCGACCTTGTAGGGAAGAGCCGAGCCGCCCGTAGGTTATTTAGGTTACCTGGCTTCGTCTAGCTCTGCGAGACGAACTGTTTACATGGTTTCAGTGGTGCGTTCACTGGTGCACGAACAAATCGCGCAACTCGTCAACTTCTCTTGCGTGCCCAAAATAACACATGTTCGGTTCATCGTGCACTCTCACGTTCTTGCGTAGATTCGAGCCTTGTTCACTTTTTGTTGGTCGCATTTGTGTGTTTCCGACTTAAAAAGCCTTTCGCCAACCACGTTGACGACATTCGCGAAAGCGGTAACCAGCTAAAGTTCGGCCTAAATTACGAACCTAAAACAATTTCACACACGCCCTAAGCTTTGATAACTGATTGGAGGAAACTAACTGATGAGCGTGATGGCATGCCATGCGCTGCCATCCATCCGAACCATACGGGCTGGTGGTGAAGCTGTTGTCCCGTACCTGGGAGTCGCGGTGCCGTCAACTTGTGTGGTTCGAGAAACTGGCGGGAAACGCTGTTTAGCCGTTGACACTCGTGTGGCAACCACCCACAATCAATAACTGCGTTTCCGAAGCAGGTACGTACTGCAGGGGAGGCTAGGAATTGCAGTTCTAGGGATCCGAACTAGGTCGTATCTATAGTGTAGCTGGTGTTCAAAATTCGAACAGGCAGGGAAGATTTCTGACTTTGGTGGGGATTCTGATTGATTGCGTCCCTTGTGTGAAACTAGGAGCGATTTCTGGGACGGATGATTACGCAAGTGTCAATTTCACGACGAGAAGTTCTCCCGCAGCCCTCATGTTGAAACTATGTACTACAGTACTTAATTTGACCTGACTTTCGCACTGCAATCATGCCTTCCGCTCAAGCCTTCTGCTCCATTTCTTGATTGTAAATTTTACTGCTGGCTTGATTGTCCTGTAAGCGTGCTAGAAAGGATGGTTTGCAGTTCAAGTTAGTGCATCACGTATTCTGGGGACACCAAGCTAACTGCCTCCAGGCATGAACGCTTCGCGTTTGATCAACGTCAACGCGATGCCACACGCTTTGGGCCCGCCTTCGAGTATCTGTGCTCATTTTACAATTAAGAGCTTCAAACACAATGTAGGCCTCAGCTCCGCGTCGAACCTAGCTCCTTCTCCGTGGGCTCAGGCAGAGCGCGAAGTCGAAACAAGAGGTTTCATCTCGTCCGTCCAGATTCCGCGTGCTCAATCATGGCCGTGGGGTCCGGCTTCGGTAGATCCCAATACGAAATCCGCTGTAGAGGGACGTGCCACAGCCACGGAACCTGCATTACCGGGTAGGAACATCGGAAATGTTGCTACAAAAGAGTCCTCGTATCGCAATCTGCATCCCGCAGAAGCTGCTCCAATTCGAAATACCACACGGAATGTTGCTGGGAATCGCGCTTCTGAGAATGCCATATCCAAATCTGGTCCAGCGAACAGCACCGCAGGCAGTACAGTCACGGAAAGTCGTGTGGTTGGTTCGACCGGACCTGAGGCCCAGTTAGGTTCGGCTGCAGCAGTGGGAAGTAACGGGGTTGCTGGAGGTCGCAGAAGAAGAAAAACGCAGCCGAGTTCGGATACACTTGCGAATGCTGAATCAGGAGCTGGGCGCGGGACAAGTATCGAGTCTGCTAATAACGGACGCAGAGGGTCGACTGCATCAGACGTGAACCGGCGGCTGACTTCCAACGCTGCGTCGCAGCCGTTGGATGATTCAGTAACCGCGTCTCAGCCGTTGGATGTGTCTGATCCTAGGGTTTGGCTCCCTCCGCCGCCAGACGTGCCCAGGCCTCGTGCAACTCATAATGCAGCCATGCTGGCGTATATCGGGGATGGAATCTATGAAGTGAGTAGTAGCGTATTGACGTAACTTTTCCAGAAACAAACGTTTTTTAGGTGCTACATGGTGTGTTCATATGACTGAGCGATTTGTGTTTGCTAGGGCCAGTCTGTGCACGCCCGAATGCAGCCGTGTTGGCCCAACCTAGGGCGCATTGCACATTGGGGACGGGAGTTGGGACTTATGCTACTCGTGCTATTCTCTTGCTGTCTTTCCCCCTTTTCTCTGCTCTTCAGCAACCCCCCTCAACCCCCCCTTTTTGTTCCCCCACTCTCCCCTCCCTTCCCTCCCCTCCCCTCCTCTTCTCCCCACTCCACCCCCTCCCCTCTTCTCCACCCCCCCGTCTTTTCCCTTCACCTCTCCCCCCTTTCCCCCCCGTCCTCCCTTTCCTTTTCCCCTCCCCTTCCTTTTCTGCCCCCTTCCTTTTCCCTTCCCAATCCTCTCTTTTCCCTTCCCAATCCTCTCTTTTCCCTCACGTCCTCTCAAGGCAAACCCCTAGTGTTCAACTCTCTTATCCACTTCTCCCTTTCGTCCTTCTTAACGCGTGTCCCCTGGTCTACGCACCAGTTTCGTTTCTCAGCTGTGCGTGCATATCACCTGTAAACACCCCATCGTCTATTGTGGCATTGGTGACCGTTCAACATCCTTCTTGTCCTTCCTCCCGTCCACTTCCCCTTTCCTCAGCTGTACGCACGACGCCACTTCTTGAACCCCCCGTCTGCTATCGCCACATACTGCCAACGAGTCACAGCTGTTGTCTGCTGTGAGGCCCAGGTGAGTCACACAAGCACACGCACGTGCACGCGCCCACACACAAACACACACACACACACACACACACGCGCGCGCGCGCGCGCGCGCGCGCGCAAGCATGCACGCATGCAACCAGAGGGATAGTCACAGACCCACACAAAAATGACAATGCCCACACCGCCAACAAGTCACATGGGTTGTCGGCTGTGAGGCCCAGATGTGAACTGACCAACCACATACTCATCAGTCCACACGTGCGTTGGTTGGTTGCAGGATGCTTTGCTGCGGCGATTGACTTCCTCAAGGATGCTCACAGAGGAGGAAAGGTATGTGCATGCCTGCATGTGTGTCTGTGATTGTCTGTACATGCATGCGTGCATGTGAGTTGGTGCACGTCCATTTATTAGTCGACACAGAGGAGGAAAGGTATGTGCATGCCTGCATGTGTGTCTGTGATTGTCTGTACATGCATGCGTGCATGTGAGTTGGTGCACGTCCATTTATTAGTCGACTCAAAAATTGCAGGATGCTTTGCTGCGGCGATTGACTTCCTCAAAGATGCTGACAGAGGAAGAAAAGTACATGCATGCATGTGTGTGTGTGGATGCACGTCTCTGTCTGCGTCTGGTAAATCATTTCATGCACACATGCGTCTGTGTAAAGCACGTCCATGCTGTGTTTGTACTATGTACATACATGCATGGGCACGTCTATGGCTGTGTTTGTAGGCAATGGTGAGTGTGGCTGTAGGCATGGGTGTGTGTGCATGCACAAATTTCGGCAGTCCTGCTTTTCTAGGAGTAAATGGGTCAAACAGCTTGAGAGGGGCTGTGAATTCTCATACCCTTTTTTCATGATAGTGAAGCTACAGTTTCAGATCGTTCTTCCTATGCATCTGGAACCATCTACACAATCCAGAACCATGCTCGTAGATACCTTGGCAGATGCTGTGGTTAATGCAAATACTAAACAGGTGTTCCGTGATCGCAAGAATCAACCATGGTGAGTGTGGTCCTAACTGGTTGTATGTTGATTGCGGAACTGTGTAAACCTACACGTCATGCTGCAGGGACGTGGTGCAGTGCGGTTGCAACGCCTCCACGGGTGCCCCTTGCCTCTTTCATGAGAGTGAACTTTGGGATTTAACAGTACTGTTTACCTGCAGTGTGATTGCGGAACTGTGTAACTCTACAACCAGGCTCCTTCCGCCAATTTCACATGGAGTTTGTCTCGTTGTTCTAATACAGCAAGAGTTGATGGAAGTTAGACCTTCGCAGCCCTCCTGTCCTCTCTTCACAGCTCTTTAACAGTACTATTTACCTGCAGTGTGATTGCGGAACTGTGTAACCCTACACGCCATGCTGCAGGGATGTGGTGCGGTGGGGAGGCAATGCTTCCACAGGTGCTAGGAAGGCCAAGGGGAGGGCTGGATCCACTGTGTATGCCAACGCCACTGCGCTTGAAACGCTGGTGAGTGGGACTGGAATGGCACTTGTGCTTTTCTAGGACTTGGTGGGGGGGGAGGCAACACTTCCACAGGTGCTAGAAAGGCCAAGGGGAGGGCTGGATCCACTGTATATGCCAACGCCACTGCGCTTGAAACACTTGTGAGTGCTGACTCTCACGTGATGCTGTTGGATTGGGTTGGGACATGTTGCCTTATCCCAAGAACTCCAGTTGTAACACTTGCAGCCACCTGACTAACAGAACTTACAGATTGATCTGCTCTGCTTCTGCCCTGTGTTGCTGACTTCTTGTGCTGTGTTTTTTAGCCCCATTGAGTTATTTTTTTTGGCTGGGATGAGTGTTCACCTGTCTTGAAATGTGCCGTCTTTTGAGGCGCCTCAAAATGTGCCGTGTTTTTGTGTGTTTTGCATGTTGTGTTCTCACCCTTCTCAGATTGGTTTTCTCTACCTCACAGATCCAGACCGCCTCGAACACATTATGCACAAACTGGGTTTTGTCTGTGATGCCTCGGATCTGCTCCTCCCTTCACATGCAAAGCGCCAATAGAAGAAAAAAAAAATCTATGTCTTTAGTCCAACCTGCTTATGATGTGTGCGTATTTGTTGGTTTTGAAAGAAAGTTAATTCCGTGTTCTTGGAGTCAATAATAGTGTACAGCAGAGATATTCAACTTATGTAACTCAGTTCTCGTCCTCGATAAGAGTCCTACCCAATCCTGTTAACGAATCTCCGCTTCACAAAGCAAACCGACAGAAATCCGCAAACCCATTCCGCCGACTCGTCGTCCCATGACGCGGTTCCACCTCCTCCAGCGGCTCTGCCGCCGCGGATCGCGGCGCGATATCCGCTTTGGTGGTGACGTCAGCGGAGGCTGGAACCACGTGATCCGTGCCGAAAGCACTGCTTGTACCAGTGGTGCCGCTACCAGCGCCAGCAGCGCCGGTTTTCGCGGTGGCTGTTCCACCATTAGGATCAACGGCTGTGATGACGGTGCAGGGCTGATCATTGGATCTGGACCGTCTAGATGGGACCATCAACATCAGGCTGGCTTGTTGAACACGATCAGATTCGATCTGTTTCCGCGAGTCGAATCTTCTGATCGCAAATCTTGTGACGAGCCTAACATAGCCGATCCACGTCAGCATAGGACCACGTCGCTAGTCTCGTCTGCTTTTCACGCCGCCAGTTACGCATTAGAGGGTCCTTCCCTGAGGAATACGGCAACGGCTGCATTCTCCGATCCCCAGTTCCATTTTTCCGCGCCACCGCCGTTTTCCGCCTCTTCCGCCACCCCGCTCCCCCCCTTCCGCTCTGCCTCCCCTTCCGCCCCGCCCCATCTCTCCTTCTTTCGTTCCGCTTCCGCAACGTCCGCCGTTCCGCGTAGCGCACCCGGAAGCTTGGCCCTCTCAGCCGCCGGGTTTCACTCCTCCGCTGCATTCGCGAATGGCGCCGCGATTGGCGGCGCCTCTGGCGCGAGCGCTAGCGACGAAAGCAGCAGCCAAAATGCAGCCAGCGAGTCCGTTTTGTCTGATGCGCCGCTTCCCTCCGGTGCTGACGTCAGCGGTGCGGTGTTAGGCGACGGTGCCGCTGACGTCATCAGTGCTGCCACGTCAGACGTAGGGTTGACGGTGGGGTCTGAGCTGGCAGCGGCGGCGGCGCACTGCTCGGCGCCTATTGCCGCGTTGCAGCAGCTGATTGGTGCAGTGCATGACGTGGCAGGGCTGCCCTGGTGAGTGAGTGGCGCGTCATGTGTTTATTGGGTCCTGCTTGCAGGATAGTAGAAACCTGTCAGCTTATCCTGCTCACCCACCGTTACTGTATAACGCTGTATTCTAGTTTTGTGGTTTCCATTATAGTCACAAAACTTTATCCTCAGAAGGATTTTGGCAGCAGCAGCTACATTTGACTTCAGCCTCATGCACATGCCAGCATTCAACCACGGCATTTTCTTTTACACAATCACAACCCGTTGTTGCAACCCTCTCGTTACAATCACAGGTGGCTCTCCATAGCAGCAGCAACGGTGGGGATCAGGCTCATCCTGCTGCCTGCATTTGTCTACCAAGTCAGATCAACGGTCAAGATGGCGGTGAGTCAGCTTTGGTGGGGTGTGAGCCAGCATTGGCTGTGAGTCAAGTTGACATGGCCTTTGCACTGCATTGTATGCGCACTTGGGACCCTTCTAATGACGGGATGTCTGTAGCCCATGCTCCCTGCTTTGTCCTCCTTATAGCAGTTTGCTCAGTTTCCTTACAGTCCGCAAATGCTCCTTGTTTTGTTTCATCCCTGCTGCTCCTCCCGTTCTGCATTATTTTCCCTGTGCCCTTTTTCTTGCATCCACAACTCATTAATTTCCCTGTGCCCTTTTTCTTGCATCCACAACTCATTAATTTCCCTGTGCCCTTTTTCTCGCATCCACAACACATTAATTTCTAGACCTGCAATGCCCTCCGTCTGTTCGTCATTTCCCTTTGCGCCCCCTCTCTCTGCGTCCCTCCATTCCAACCCAAAACCCAACTCAACCGCACCCCACCCCTCTTATCAGCTCGTCAAACCGGAGATGGAGCGACTGTTGAACAAAGTCAAGGCCACTGGATACAGTTCTTCCTCTCCCTCCCTTCAATTGCAACCCACCCCACCCAACCACATCCCACCCTTCCCCACCAGCTTATTAAGCCAGAGATGGAGCGACTGCTGAACAAAGTCAAGGCCGCTGTGAGTCGCTCTGCCCTTCTCCGCCTCCCCAGACTCCCTATCTCCCCTCCCACCTCTCCTCTCTTGTCTCTCCTCTCCCCTCCTTTCCCCTCCCACCTCTCTCCTTTCTTGTCTCTCCTCTCCCCTCCTTTCCCCTCCCACCTCTCTCCTTTCTTTTCTCTCCTCTCCCCTCCTCTCCTTTCCCACCTCTCTCCTCTCTTGTCTCTCCTCTCCCCTCCTTTCCCCTCCCACCTCTCCTCTCTTGTCTCTCCTCTCCCCTCCTTTCCCGTCCCACCTCTCCTCTCTTGTCTCTCCTCTCCCCTCCTTTCCCCTCCCACCTCTCCTCTCTTGTCTCTCCTCTCCCCTCCTCTCCTTTCCCACCTCTCTCCTCTATTTTTACTCCTCTCCCCTCCTCTCCTCTCCCACCTCTCTCATCTCTTTTCTCTCCTCTCTCCTCATCTCACCCCCTTCTATTGTTGCCCATTTCTCCCACCCCCTCTCTGCAATGCGTTAGTTACATTGCCCCCTAAACCCAGGGACCCCCCCCTAAAAAGTTTTTCTGTGAAACCTCAACCGGTGACTTTTGAGTCGACTTATAAGTCACCTCGTTGCGTTGTTCCCAACCCCCGGCCCCGATAGTTAACGCCTGAGCTTGCTAATATAAAACCACGACTTGTGTTTCCCAAATCATCCTGATCACCCTCATCACCCTCATCACCCTCATCATCCCCATCATGCATCACAGGGCTACGGCACAGAGGCTGTGGCTCACTACAACGGCAAGATGCAAGCGCTATTAAAGAAGTGAGTTACCAATAAAGCCACCTTGTGAGCTATGTTGCACTATACGCTTAGGGTGTTATTTGTTTCACGTTTATGCGTTCACGTATAAATGCAAAAACGTGAAACAGGGACAAATGCGCGATACGGAAAGCCGGGCAGACAAATAATAATTAAAAAAAAAAAAAAAAAAAAAATCGCGCTCTTTCTGTACGCACGTATACCGACATTTCGATTCGAGTTTTTTTCAATCATGGGACGTGCAAAACCGAGTCGCCACGTTCACCCCACGTACATCAACATTGCCCAATCACCCCCAACAAGTCGTGACCAACCATAGCATGTCCCCCTCCCCACAACCAATACGTGGTAAGTATAATTCACTCCACTTCAACACAATTCTCATCCAGTTCTTCCTAGCCTCCTGTTTGTTCTCTGTTGAACTATGGCTACTCCAGACCCATCTCCCAGCACTCAGACTAGTGATCCGCCAGCCTCGACCTCGGAGGCACAATGGCAGGAGGAGGATAGTACGCATATCGTTTTCAAGCATTTCAAGGTTCCGATCCGCCACGACACCGTCGGCGCTGTCCGCGTTTGCAAGTATTGCGCCATCGAGTTCAAGGGTGGTGCGTTTCGATGCACTCAGCATATCACGAAACGGAAGGGACGGAAAACGCGCGACATCCGCCTGTGCGCGAAGGCTTCGTCCGACGTGCGAGCGGCGGTGCGTGCGCATTACAAGAAGAAGACATCCGGCCGCGACGAAAAGAGGAGGGCCGAGGAGGCTGCGCTCGAAGCTGTCGTGGGAGGTTCGAAGAAAGGCCGCATCACCGACTTCATTGGCGACGACGTGAAATGCAAGAAGGGCGAGGCGGACAACTCGGCCTGCATGTTCTTCGCCGGCTGTCACATTCCCGTACACCACGCCGACAACCCGTTGTGGCGCAACATGGTCAGGGCCATTAACAACGCAGGGCACGGTTATGTCGCGCCGCGCCGTAACTATGTTGGAGGGGCTGGGCTGAAGCTTTGCCGCACGGGTATCGAGAAGGGGCTTCAGCCAATCGCCGCTAGCTGGAAGAGGGATGGCGTCACCGTCTCCTCGGACTTGATGACCGATCGGTGCGGGAGGCCGCAGGCGAACATCATGCTGATCAACGATTCGGGAGCTGTGTTTGTCGAGGCTATTGACTGCAAAATTGAGTCAAAAAACGGTGGCTACATCGCGTCCCTTCTCCGCCCCATCATTGAGAAAGTGGGGCCCGAAAACGTATTCGCTCTTTGCATGGACGGGGGCTCCAACTACGGGGCCGCCTGCAAGGAGCTCATAGCGGATTGGCCGCACATCGAGTACCGTGCGCTACGCACGTGCTCGACCTCCTGATGGAGGACGTGGGCAAGATCCCATGGGCGAAAGAGATTGTGGATCGGTGCGGGGACATGATCACCTACGTCCGCAACCACCATTTCACCCGCAATTACCTGAGGAGTGGGGCGGTTAAGGGAGGAAAGGGGAAGCAGCTTGTGAAGCCGGCGGGGACCAGGTTCGGCATCAACTTCATCGCTCTCTCAAGGCTGTGCCAGCTGCGGCCGACGTTGTCTTAGATGGTGCTGAGCGAGGAGTACGGCAACTGGGGGATGGGGATAAGGAAGCTGACGACGGATACCTTCCGCGGCCACGTCATGGACGACGAGTGGTGGACGAAGGCAACATACCTCGTGGAGCTCTTGGTGCTTCCGTTCAAGGTGATGCGGGCCACGGACAGCAGTGCGAAAGGCATGATGGGCACCATCTATGACCTCATGCTCCAGCTGACCGAGGACATGATGGCCAAGCTGGAGGCGAGGGATAAGATTCTGACGCGGGCGGATGCGGCTGAGATAGGGAAGATTGTTAGGCGCTGTTGGGACGAGAGCCTCGCTTGCGCTCTTCACGTCGTTGGCCGGATCCTGAACCCGGCAAATCAGGAAGAGGGTATATTCCGCACCGATGTGGAATGTACGCGCATCTTGAAGGCGTTCATCGCACGTCACTACGAAGGCAAGACCTTTACCAACAAAGACGGTGAGGAGAAGCGGGCCTCTCTTGTTTTGCACGAGCGGCTCACGGCCTTCCTCACACTTGAAGGATCCTTCGGCCTCCTTGAGGCAATTGCCGACAGGGGGAGGGGGAGGGGGAGGGGGAGGGGGAGGGGGAAGCCGTGCTGGCCGATGAGTACGTGGAGTAAGAAAGTCAGGAATCAGACAAGTAGTTGCTAGTATGTGTGTGTGTACTTGCAATGCATGTTTGTAATGGGGAAAACAAAATTCATAAGTGAGGAAAAAACCACCATGGCAAAAACACAATGAACATAGGCAATACGACTCACCCCCTGACACTACTCACCACCGTGAGCGTATAGTTCAAACGCGATTGGTACGCCAATCACGTATAGTGCAACATAGCTTGTGAGGGGGCGCCTTGTTAGGAGGCGCCTTTTCAGGCGGCTCTAAAGCCGTCACCTCACCACCACAGGGCTACGACACAGAGGCAGTGGCTCACTACAATGGCAAGATGTAAGTGCTGCTAAAGAAGTAGGTGCTCTCGAGTTGTTATTTAGAGCTCAAGCTTTTGCTTTTCCTCTTTTCCCTGTCAGATTGTGAGTTTGTCATTTAAGATTTAGTTTCTTCATAACGATGACTACCTTAGAACCTCTGAAATTTCTCTGTATAGAAAGGCTGTGTGTCCCATACCCTAAACCCTTCTCCCCATTTTTGAGGCGCCTTAAAAGTCGTTTTGAGGCGCCTCCAAAGATTTCTCTGTATACAAGCGCTGTGTGTCCCATACCCTACCCTTCTCCCCATTCCTGACCAGCCCATAGCCACACCGCACCTGAGTACTCCTTCCTCCCATCCCTACCATCTGAGTAGTCCTCCCTAAACCTCCAAAACCCCCAAACCCTTAAACCCGAACCCCTTGAAACTGTAAACCCCCGAAACCTGAAACCTCTAAAACCCTTCACCTGTGATGGATTTGACACTTCAAGCCTCATTGACGGCAACCTTGCCCTTCCCTTCCCTCCCTGGCCTGCCTCCCCCTCCCTCCCCCTTCCGAGTCATCTACTCGCCCCTCCTCCATTCCCATACACAATACGGCGCTCATTGCTCCTCAGCTCTTATTCCCCTTCCCTTCCCCCGGTTTCTCCCCGCCCCCTGCTGCTCCCCCCTTTTCCCCCTGTTGTACGCCCCTTTTCCCCCTGTTGCACCACCCCCAGGCACAACACCACGCCCTTTGCTCCTCTCCTCGGGATCTTCCTGCAAGCGCCCATCTTCATCGGTTTCTATTTCGCTGTACGTGTTTTGCACTTGCTCGCTGCTCTTGCCCTGCTAGGTGACTTTTGAGTCGACTCAGAAGTCACTTTGATGTACTCGTATCGTGCACTTGCTGCTCTTGCCCTGCTTCATATCTTTGCTGTTTGCTTTCTTCATAAGCTCTTCATAAGCTCTTCTTCCGATCACTCACATGCTCTTCGTCATTCACTCTCAGGCCTTCTCTGCTTCACTTCGAAATTTCTCAGAAGATACTTCCTCTTGTCCCTTTCCTTCCTTCTCTCCTTCCCCCCTTCTCCCCCTCCCTTTCTCCCTGTCCCCTTCTCCCCCTCCCCTTCTCCTCCTCCCTTTCTCCCGCTCCCCTTCTCCCCCTTCCCTTCTCTCCCCCTCCCCTTCTCCCCCTCCACCCTTCGCCCCCTCCTCTCTGGTTCACCAGCCTCACTACACGGGCCCCCTCTTTGTGCTATCGACTCCTCTATCCTTCCCCTTCCCTTCCCACCCCACCTCCTCCCACCCCACCTCCTCCTTCCATTCCACCCGTCTCCCTCCCCTCTTCGCCCCCCTCCTCCTCTGGTTCACTGACCTTACTACACGGGCCCCCTCCTTGTGCTATCGACTCTTCTATCCTTCCCCTTCCCACCCCACCTCCTTCCTCCTTCCTTTCCACCCGTCTCCCTCTCTTCCTCTCCCTTGTGCAGATCACAGGCATGGCGGGGCACATGCCATCATTCGCAACAGGCGGGGCCTTCTGATTCACAGACCTCAGTACACCCTCTCCTCTTCCCTCTGCCTCCCCCTCTCCCTTGTGCAGATCACAGGCATGGCGGAGCACTTGCCATCGTCCACAACAGGCGGTGCCTTCTGTTTCACCGACTGCATGCACCTACTCTCTCCTCTCCCCTCTCTCCCATCCCATCCTCCTCACGCAGATCACAGGCATGGCAGAGCACATGCCATCATTCACAACAGGGGGAGCCTTCTGGTTCACCGACCTCACCACACCGGACACCACCTACCTGCTGCCTCTCATGTCCTCTGCTGGAATCCTTGCTGCTGTGGAGGTATGTCGCCCCACCTCACCTGACCTAATTTCACCTCACCCCACCTCACCTCACCTCACCTCACCTCACCTCACCACACCTCACCACACCGGACACCACCTGCTGCCTCTCATGTCCTCTGCTGGAATCCTCGCTGCTCTGGAGGTGAGTCTATGTCTCCGACTCCAACTCAATTCAACTCACCTTACCTCACCGGATCTCACCTCACCTCACCTCACATCACCTCACCTCACCTCACCTCACCTCACCTCACCTCACCTCACCTCACCACACCTCACCACACCGGACACCACCTGCTGCCTCTCATGTCCTCTGCTGGAATCCTCGCTGCTCTGGAGGTGAGTCTATGTCTCCGACTCCAACTCAACTCAACTCACCTTACCTCACCGGATCTCACCTCACCTCACCTCACATCACCTCACCTCACCTCACCTCACCTCACCTCACCTCACCTCACCTCACCTCACCTCACCTCACCTCACCTCACCTCCACCTCACCTCACCTCACCTCACCTCACCTCACCTCACCTCACCTCACCTCACCTCACCTCACCTCACCTCACCTCCCCTCACCTCACCTCCCCTCACCTCACCTCACCTCACCTCACCTCACCTCACCTCACCTCACCGCACCTCCCCTTCTCCTCGTGTGTCCTGTGCACCCCTCTCTTGTATTCCAGCTGAACGCAGCAGAGGGAATGGAGGGAGCACCCAATGCAGCGCAGATGAAGTGGTTCATCTCTTGCCCCTCCTCTCTTTTGCACCCTATGCGGCCCCCGCGTTGTACTCTTTCGTGCCTCCCTGCATTCCAGCTGAATGCAGCAGAGGGAATGGAGGGAGCACCCAATGCAGCGCAGATGAAGTGGTTCATCTCTTGCCCCTCCTCTCTTTTGCACCCTATGCGGCCCCCGTGTTGTACTCTTTCGTGCCTCCCTGCATTCCAGCTGAATGCAGCAGAGGGAATGGAGGGAGCACCCAATGCAGCGCAGATGAAGTGGTTCATCTCTTGCCCCTCCTCTCTTTTGCACCCTATGCGGCCCCCGTGTTGTACTCTTTCGTGCCTCCCTGCATTCCAGCTGAATGCAGCAGAGGGAATGGAGGGAGCACCCAATGCAGCGCAGATGAAGTGGTTCATCTCTTGCCCCTCCTCTCTTTTGCACCCTATGCGGCCCCCGTGTTGTACTCTTTCGTGCCTCCCTGCATTCCAGCTGAATGCAGCAGAGGGAATGGAGGGAGCACCCAATGCAGCGCAGATGAAGTGGTTCATCTCTTGCCCCTCCTCTCTTTTGCACCCTATGCGGCCCCCGTGTTGTACTCTTTCGTGCCTCACTGCATTCCAGCTGAATGCAGCAGAGGGAATGGAGGGAGCACCCAATGCAGCGCAGATGAAGTGGTTCATCTCTTGCCCCTCCTCTCTTTTGCACCCTATGCGGCCCCCGTGTTGTACTCTTTCGTGCCTCCCTGCATTCCAGCTGAATGCAGCAGAGGGAATGGAGGGAGCACCCAATGCAGCGCAGATGAAGTGGTTCATGCGAGGGCTTGCTGTGACCATGGTGCCGCTCACTGTCACGTTCCCTAAGGTAACTTTCTCTTGCACTGTCACGCTCCTTGCTGTCACATTCCCCAAAGCAAGTTGTTTTGAGGCAGCGCAACCGAAGTGGTTTATTATGAGAGGATTGGCTGTAAAGCATGGTGCCGCTTACTGTCACTCTCCCTAAGGTTGTACACTGCCATGTCACTCATGTCACTCATGTTACTTGCTGTCACGTTCCTTAAGGTTGTACAGTGTGACACTACGTAATGTACACTGCCATGCCACTCATGTCACACTACGTACAGTGACGTTGTTACTTGCTGTCACGTTCCGTGAGGTAACTTGTTCTGAGCCGCGTTAAAGGAAGAGCAGTGCTGATGGTTAATGAGAGGAGTGGCTGGGACTATGGTGCTGCTTACTGTCATGTTCCCTAGGGTAGCATCAATTGTGATGTTTGCTAGATATGCACATGTGTTCCTGTGCTCATTCATCGTCAGTAAACCTAATGTATTCATATGTATTCTTGCAGTGTGCTTTTTTCTTCAGTGCGTTGGTTTTGTTCTTCTTCCTCTTAGATTATTCTTAGCTGCTTTGTGTATTACTGTTTTTTTTTGCTACAGGCTGTGTTCTGCTACTGGATCACCACCAACGTCTTTTCTCTTGTCCAAGGTCTTGGTACGTGCTTAGTGATGTTCGTGCTTGTATAATTTGGCTGAGTCAGATATCCTTCATGCACCTTACATCATTCGCAATGTCGCCTCTTTTTTCTAAATTTGGTGCTCCATTGTGGTCCTTGTTTGGTGTGAATTGATTACCTTGTTGTCATTTACTTCCCTACTAACATCCAATTTCCTTCTTTCACTTTCTCTTTTCTCAGGCCTTAAGCGCCCTGGGGTGCGGAAGGCTCTTGGGATCCCTACTCTTAAGCCTCCGTCATCTAATGCGTCTCCTGGAGGTGCCTCACTGGGATTACCTGTAACGCAAACATCTGCCCTTCCGCCAAAAGCAGCTATAACAACGAGAGGGAACACAAGAAGACCACCATCAAAACGGAGAGGAAGGTGATTCAGTGGAATTATATGCTGATTTGTTTTCTGGCTTTTGTGGCGATTTTCCTGTGGATGAAATAGTTTTGTTGATTTACTGTAGAGTTGTAGGATGTGTGAGCTTCCTGTGCGTGAAGGAGATATCGAATAAGGAAATATCGACACTCTTTATCGGGAATAGTGTGTCACCAAGGGTCTTGGCTGCCACGTCATCCTGATACTTGTGAAGCTCGAGCACATCCAAGGAGATCTCCCAAGGCGCAGAAGCAGGAGGCGTTCCGAAGGAGTGACACGGGATCTGTACAGAGAAATACACACGATGTGTACAGAACTGGAGGTATTTGAGCTGCATCAAGCCGTCTTGAATGCAACATTACCGGCTGTACTTCTGGCCAAAATGAATTGCAAAACACGCCCGCGCAAAATCTCATCTCCATGGGAAATGCCGAGAGTGATGAGGCTATGGATAGATCAAGGGTTTTCAGATATGAAGGGAACATTATTGGGGACCCTGCGCTTTGACGTGTGATTCACTCCTACTTGGGGACACTTTCCGCTCTTCCTACCCTCGAACAGGAGAGTTATTGCGACAACTCAGGAATCCGCTCCACGTTCATCCACGTGTCACAATTTCACAGCATTAGAAAATGTTTTGCACCCCGCCTGACCCAAACAAACTAAAACCCAATCGGAAAGGGATGCGACTCGGGGAGGCATCAACCCTTAAAAATGCCCTTTTCCCGTGTTTAGGGTTGATCCTTCCAGAAAATGGGTCCAGGTCCCTAGGGGTTTTATTTTTTTTGCCCCGCAATTTTGAACATCTCTTGAATTTGTGACACGTGGGATAATGTGGAGCGAATTCCTGATTTGTCGCAATAAGTTTCCTGCCTGACGGGCGTTATTGCGGAAAGTGTCCTCAAATAGCAATGAAGCTCCCTCGAAAGCAAAGGTTCGCTAGTAGTACTCCCTCCATAGCTACTTACCCATAGATCAAGCTTGAGTTCCCAACCCAACGTGTGAACTTTTTAGAAGCTATCATCATCATCATCATCACCACCATACCTCGGACTCCACTCTACTGATCTGTGATCTCAGGCTTGGTGGAGTTTCCGAGGTGATACATAGCCTAGCAGTCACTTCACTGCTTTCGTCTTCGTGCGTGGAAAAGTTAGAAGTCTTATTAGGAACCACACCTTACGTGAACGCGAGTTTTTTTTTATTAGACTTGTTAAGGATCATAGTTCAGGAAAGAGAAACGCGTTCAATATTAAATTTGACCAGTCCGCACAACATTTTTCCTGCTGAAAAGTTAAGCGAAGGATGGCATTGTTAAGAGCTACCAATTTGCAACTGCGGCTAAACGTCAGCCCATCGTTACAATGCGTAAGTGCTACAGTCGAAAAAAGGTTCCTCGGATCCTTCTATTTTCTTTCGGTCCTCGACTCTAGATTACGAGGCCTTAAGCTACGCAATTGGTATTTTCATTCCACTTGAGAAAATGCATTGGACGGACCTCAACCGCGTTTTGGGGGAGCTTGAGGGACACCCTCCCTTGCTATTACTTCTATAGATTGAGTTTAAAATCTCTCCTCTTTTCAGTCACGCAGACGGCCATCGTCTCTGTCACGGCTTTCTATAACCACATGCCAACTGGGCGATTCAAACGAGGGCGGGGAGTCCGTAGTGGCTCGGCCATTCGAGGCTGAGACGGAGGCTCGGGCACAAGCCAGGCTCGCAGCTTCGGATCCGAACCGACGATACCAGGTGCGAGCAGCAGCTGCATTCTGACCGAACGAGATGGCTCTACATGGCGGCAATTCCATGAGTTTTTTTTCCGGCGTGAATAATGCAGGTTTTAAATTATTAGAATCATTCAACTGCAGACGCACTCACTGTTTGATTACAGATAGTTTCAGATATATGCTCATTTTCAAAGCCACCACTCCCAACCACTTCCGACCGTTACAGGAGATGATGCAACGGAGGGAGGAGAGCCGACAACAGACCTTGCGAGAATACGGCGATGTGAGTCACCCTTGAAAGCCTGAGCCATTTTCGGTTGTAGATTTCTTAAAAGCAAACACCAAAAACCACCTGCAACAACAGACCATGCGAGAGTACCGCGATGTGAGTCACCCTTGGAAGCGTGAACCGTTTTCGTCTCAAATTCTTTCAAAGTCACCCTTGGAAACGTGAGCCATGTCAGTCAGTCGCTGTTCTCTTCCTCCTCTGCTTCCCCCAACCTCCTTAGCTTCCCCTCTTTCCTATCCCGCCTCCCTTTCTACCTGCGCCAGTTGAAGCGGCAGCTGTCGCAAACGGCTATAGGAGTGGGGGCGGCAGGCACGCTCTACTGCTTTCTCGGGATCTCCATTCAGGTGAGTGTGTGTGAGAGTGTGCGTTTGTGTGTGCCTGCAGTGTGTGTTGGCAATTGTGTTTCCTTATGCTTGGTTGAGAGCGTGTGTGAGTGTGTGTGAGTGTGCGTGTGAATTGGGACGGCGAACGGGGAATGGAAAGAGTATACTTCACAGAAACGTTCTTCTTCCCTTCTAGGCGCTTCAAAAATGTTGTAACTAAAAGGACAAAATATATCCTGTCCCTCCCTTGCTCTGCCCCCATGTGTCACGTCCCATACCACAGACGGCTATCAGCTACGGCATCGGAAGCGCTGCCAGGTAATCTCTTCCTCTCTAGCCTCAGGTCAGGGCTGGGGGTTTGGTTCTGGTTCAGCCTAGTCTGTCGGGGAATGGTTTTCGCTTGAGGGTTTCGGGTTCGGCTTGAGGGTTTCGGGTTCCTCTTGAGGGCTTTGGGTGTCATTTGAGGGTTTCGGGTGTTTCTTGAGGGTTTCGGTTTTCGCTTGAGGGTTTTGGGTGCCCCATTGCCGCAACAGCTCTCCTCCCTATTTCCCCCAACCGCCCTCCTCCCCATTTCCCCCTACCGCCCTCCTCCCCATTTCCCCCTACCGCTCTCCTCCCCCATTCCCCTTCGGCCCTTGTCCCGATTTCTCCAGATTCCCTCTGCCTTCTCCCTTTTCTCCACAAGCCCTCTACCCCGTCCCACGCCTGCCTCTACCTGCTGCTGCTCTTTGGTGACTCTGAAACCATTACCCCCCTGAGGACCTGCCTCCGCATTCCTTCCTCACCCCCAGTCGCCCCTTTCCCCATCTCCCTTCTCCATTCTCCCTTTTCCAGCTGTCTCTACCTACTACTGCTATTCAACGACACTGACACCATTGCTCCTGAGGACCTCCCTCCCGCCTTCCTTATTGACCGAAACAAGCCCAAGAGGTGAGGGAAGCTGACAAGGGGTGAGGAAGGGTGAGGAGGGGTGAGAGGGGGTGAGTTGGGGTGAGACAGGGTGAGCTACTTCCAAACGCACCAAGGATTCAAAACACCGACACCATTTGCTCCAGAGGACCTGCCTTCGGCCTTCCTTATTGACCGGAACAAGCCCAAGAGGTGAGACGGGGTGAGGCAGGTATGGCACAGGGTGAGAAGGAATAGGAAGGGTGAGATGGGGTGAGAAGGGGTGAAGGGGGTGAGAGGGAATGTGAGGGGGTGAGGGGGGGTGTGAGGGGATGTGAGGGGGTGAGGGGGGGTGTGAGGGGATGTGAGGGAGTGAGGGGGGGTGTGAGGGGGGGTGTGAGGGGGTGAGGGGGGGTGTGAAGGGATGTGAGGGGGTGAGGGGGGGTGTGAGGGGATGTGAGGGAGTGAGGGGGGGTGTGAGGGGATGTGAGGGAGTGAGGGGGGGTGTGAGGGGGTGAGGGGGGGTGTGAGGGGATGAACGGGGCTGCGACGGTAAACGGGGATGAGACGCACATAACCCCCCATTCCCCCATACCCCCATTCCCTGACCGTCCCCTACCCGCCCCCTACCGAACCCCCTTACTAACCCTCTAACCACGTCTTACTCACCCGTCACCCCTTAGGCGGGGTGAGAATGGGTGAGAAGGCGTGGGATGGGATGAGTCAGGGTGAGGCAGGGTGAGTTGGGGTGGGAGTGGGTGGAACAGAAAATGTAGGACGTTTCAGACGCTTTAAAACCCGAGGTCCAAGACTCTCAAACTTAGGAAGGTTGGTTGGGGTGGTTGGTTGGGGTGGTTGGTTGGGGTGGTTGGTTGGGGTGGTTGGTTGGGGTGGTTGGTTGGGGTGGTTGGTTGGGGTGGTTGGTTGGGGTGGTATCGCGATGCTTCCCCCAACTTAGGAAGAAACTATCTGCGAACGATTTTCGACGTTGCCCTCCTCAATATACCACCTCTCACTTACCCTCCTCCCCTCCTCACCACCACTTTCTTGGCTTTCCTGTCCTCTAACCATGCCTTCCCACTCACCCCAGGAAAGGCCTGGTTGACAGCCTAGCAACAGTCAATTCGCCCCAGAAGATTTTGCAGGGGGCACAGCTCGCCCTCTCCTCTCAATGTCCCTCTCTCCCACATTTTCACCCTCTACCCAACAGTCCCGCTCCCAGGAAGGGCCTAGTTGACAGCCTAGCAACAGTTGACTCACTGCAGAAGCTGCTACAGGGAGCACAGCTCGCCCTCTCCTCTCAATGTCTTTGTTCCCCTAACCTGCCCCCTTACCCACCCCTCGGCTGCTTACAGGAAGGGCCTGGTTGACAGCCTGGCGTCGGTCGATTCACCCCAGAAGCTGCTGCAGGGGGCACAGCTCGCCCTCTCCTCTCAATGTCCCACTCTCCCACATACTCACCTCCTACCCACTCCCCCCGCTCACATGAAGGGCCTGGTTGACAGCCTGGCAACAGTTGATTCGCCCTCAGAAGCTGCTGCAGGGAGCTCAGCTTGCCCTCCCCTCTCAATGTCCCTCTCTCCCACATTTTCACAGTCTACCCAACCGTCCCCTTCCCAGGAAGGGCCTGGTTGACAGTCTAGCGACGGTCGATTCACCCCAGAAGCTAGTGCAGGGGGCCCAGCTCGCCCTCTCCTCGCGCCGCCTGCTCGTGCCGGCTGCTCTCGTGCTGCTCTGGTCCTTCTCTCTGCAATTCAGCGGCAGTGACCCCAACAGCTTGCACATCGAGGTGAGGAGGTTTGTGGAGTGGTGGTCAGTGGTGGTGAGTGGTGTATCCCAGGGGCCCAGCTCGCCCTCTCCTCCCGCCGCCTGCTAGTGCCTGCTTCCCTCATGCTGCTCTGGGCCTTCTCCGTGCAATTCAGCGGCAGCGACCCCAACAGCTTGCACATCGAGGTGGGGAGGACTGTGGAGTGGTAGTGAGTGGTGGTGAGTGGTGTTCCTCCCACTCTCTCCTCCTGCCGCCTGCTAGTGCCCGCTGCCCTTGTGCTGCTCTGGGCCTTCTCCCTGCAATTCAGCGGCAGCGACCCCAACAGCTTGCACATTGAGGTGCGTGCCTGCTCCCTTGTGGTCTTCTCTCCCTTTGCCTGCTGTCCCGGTGCCTGCTTCCCTTGTGCCCACTGCTCTCCCCCCTTGTGCCTGCTGCCCTCACATTTCCGTGAATTTTGAGGGGGTTTAAGGATGTCTGAAGAGGTTTGAGGATGTCTAAAGAGGTTGGAGGGGAAGTGGTGGTTCTGAGGGCTGTATGCAGGGAGCATAGCTCGTTTTTGGCTAGCCCTCTGCTCTCGCCTTTCCCCTGTTGGACGTTCTGGGTGCAATATTTGTTTGCCATGCGGTTTGTACTGGTTAAACCTCTATCGCTTCTCACGTGTTCGAGACGTCTCAAAAATCTACTTTCTACACTTTGTTAGCCATGCGGTTTGTACTGGTTAAACCTCTATCGCTTCTCACTCCGCTTCTCTTCCTTGCTCTCTCCGCTCCCCTCCCTTACTGTTGCTCGGCCATTTGTCTTATCCTCCCTTCCCTTTGTTTCTTATGAAAACAGTTCGCCCCCCTCTTCATAGGATTCCTTTCCTACAAAATCGCTGTGCTACTTTTCACTATCGAAGATGTTACCAAGTAACGCTGGTAACGGTACCGTTATTTAGCAGATTATATTGATGGCTACACTTCAATGAATGTTTTATTATTGATTTTTCTTGTACGGTACTGTACTTCAACGTGTGCTCCAGCAAAGAATAAGGAGTGTTGTCGTGGCCCCCAGATTGTTGTGGCCCAAACCTTGTAGCATGGTAGCATCTCCCATTGTCTTACTACCGGTATGTGAGACAAGTAACTTTAATGTTCAGTCTGGTGAGCAGGTAAGTGCAGTGGCCTAGCTGTAACTAGTAGTGATGCTGCAGTGTAGCAAGTGGCTGCCATATGTAGTTGCCTTATGTTTGATTATACTTAGATGCATAGGAAACGTGACATAGACGCCAAACACTACTTCACAATCGTAAGGCAGGAAAACCTTTTATTACAGTACAGTACACCCAATTATTGAGCAGCTCTTCTTATGTACCTACAGTGACAGCTTTAGAGATAGAGTGTCCACTCGAAGCAGTTCCTTCAACACATTCCCACCCTCTTCCCCTCTCTCCCCTCCTGCTCCTGCTCTTGCTGCTTTTGCTCCTGCACCTTGTGCACCCCCTCTTTCCCACGCTTTCCCTGCTCCCCCCAACCTCCCTAATCTTGCTGCTGCTACAGCTATCCCTGCTCTCTCTGCCCCTGATGCACCCTCTGCCCCCTCTCCACCTCCTGCGCCTCCTGCTCCCCCTGCTTCTCTTGCTTCTCTTGTTCTCCGAAACCTCCCTGCTCTTGCTGCTGCTGCAGCTGCCTCTGCTGATGCTCTTGTTGCTGCTGCTGTAGCTGCTGCTGCTGCTGCTGCATCTACCGCTGTTGATGCTCTTGCTGCTGCTGCTGCTGCATCTGCCCCTGCTGATGATATTGCCATCCTTGCTGCCAGGCTTTTGGGGGGTACTGCTCTGGGTATTGCGGGAAATACACCTAGAGAAGCAGGGTTACTGCGAATACGCCCCATGACACGTGCAGCACGGAACACAGCACTTGGAAGGTTGCATCTTGGAACCAAACGGAGTGGACTTGGCTCAGCAGCAGCAGCTGTAGCAGCAGCAGCTGTAGAAGAAGCGGCAGTTGTAGCATCAGCAGCTTTAGCTGCTGGAGCAGCAGCAGCAGGTGTAGCAGCTGCAGCAGCTGTAGCAGCTGTAGCAGCTGCAGCAGCTATAGCAGGTGCAGCAGCTGTAGCAGGTGCAGCAGCTGTACCAGCTGTAGCAGGTATAGCAGGTGCAGCAGGTGTAGCAAGTATAGCAGGTATAGCAGCTGCGGAAGTGGGAGTTGTGGGGGAGGCAGGCGCGTCTGGTGAAGGGGACAACTGGGGAAGGTTCACGTGCGGCTCGGGGAGCGAGAAAGAGGAGGAACGGGAGTGATACGGGGTAACAAGCGAGGGCGGATGGGAGCGAGAGGAGGGTTGGTTACGGGATGGAGATGAGGGAGGGGAGAGAGGGGACGAGGTTGCACGGGGGGGATGCGGGGAGCGAGGGGAGGCGGGTGTTGGAGTGGGGATCGAACAAAGAAAGGGGGCTTTGGGAGGCTTGGTTGCTTCCTGTTTCCGAAAAGGCCGAACTTGGCTTTGAGGCCTCTTGGATGTGCTTGCATAGGGTGTGACTGTAGCAGATGCTTTCGACGTGTTGTCTTGTTGGGTTGGTAACATGGTAACTGGAAAATTTGTGCGGTCGTTGGAGACATCTTTACTGTCTCCATTTGCGGCTTGTTTCCTGGTCGCATCTTGCACTGTACAATCTGGAGCGTCGTTGCTGAATGTCTTCATGAGAATATCTTCATCTGTATTGTGGGCCTCCTTGATCTTATCAGAGCATTTCATGTCGGAGCCAACTTCGGCAGTTCGAGAGATCCGCTCCCCGCATTGGCACGCGTCAGTCTGTTCGGCGCAGCCTGCGGACGCGCGAGGATCCTCGAAACTCTCCTCCTTCACGCGTTTCTGCGGAGGCGCACTCATCTGATCGGGGGAAAGTGGAGGGGAAGCGGAGAACGCGGAAAGGCAGGTTTAGGATAAACCCCGACACTCATGGTCCAAAATTTATTGGTTTTGGGAGGAAAACTTACTTAAAACCCGCAGGCCAAGAAGGCCAAATTTGGTTCATCCTTCCTAGCGTTGGTTGGATGTCCCAAAAATGCCTGTGATCATTCCCGAATTCTAGACCTCGTCCAACATTTCGGACACTCCTATTGGTTCGCAGGCCTTTTGCGTTTTCACTCCCAACCAACCTTCCTAAGGTTGAAATTCTTGGCCTGCGGGTTTTAAGAATGGAATTTGCGACAAAACACCTAGAACCTCTTAATTACGAAGCGCAAATCCTTAGTGCGTTACGTTCGAGGCGCTGCAAACGGAACTTACCGATACGTTTTGGGGCGATTTTCTCTTCGACGAACGCGGCAGCAGCGCGTCGTATTTCGATTTTAGCTCCGCGTGCTCCTCAGCCAAATCCCCCATTTCCCGTTTTGCCCGCTCATTCTCTTTCCGCAGTTCCGCCAGCTCCGCGTGCGCTTGCGCCAACTCCGCGCGCAGCCGCGCTAGCTCCCCCTCCCTCGCCAGAGTAGCGTGTTTCACGCGTCGGTTCTGGAACCATACTGCGACCTGACGTGGCTTTAATCGGAGCTGGCTCGCCAGCTTTAGCCGCGTCTCGAGTTTGATTTCGCGCTCAATTTCCGTGAAATGCGACTCGAGCACTTCGATCTGCGCGGGCGATAGGCGCAGCTTGGACTTCCGCTTGGTCTTGGGGGGCTTATCAGAAGAAGCGGGGGACCGTAGCGCAGAAGCGGCGGACGGGGAAGGGGAGGGGGAAGGGGAAGGGGAATCCGCGACTTCGTTTTCGCAGCGGGGGTTGACACGGGGAGCGCCGTCACCCGGCCGACACGATGGCGACACGTGAAGCTTACGTGCACCAGCGAAAGCCAGCTCAGCAGCATCACCTCTCTCCGCCGCCTTCGCATGACACACAGTGTAGTAGATGGGCGGCGCGTCACGAGCCTCTTCCTCCGCTTCCTCAGCTTCGTCAGCTTCGTCAGCTTCCTCGTCGTCCTCTTCCTCTCCCTCTTCCTCCTCCACGTCGATTTCGTGGCTAGTGCGCCGCAGAAGCGCCGACGGTTGCGCCGAGAATCGCGCCGCTGCCGGGGCCACGGGCTTCGGAGATTCTAGCGGGGTCCCGTTCTCGCGAATGATTGTCATAGTAGCGCCAACCACGCCGCTAACGCCAGTACCTCCCGCTGCGGCGGTAGTATCGCTGTTGCTCGCTTGCCCGGGCCGAACGGGAATGTAATATGAAGGAAGCATCGATTGCAAGGTTAGCTTCACGCCGTATCCAGAAATCGGCGAGTCGCCGCCGTGAGGGTTGCGAGATGTGTGAGGTTCGCCGCGATAGTTGCAAGAGCCGCGAGAGCCGCGAGAGCCGCGAGAAGTGCCTTCGGATGAAGGGTTCAACTCCGAAGCGCGTATCGCGTGCGGCACCTCGCATGCGACGTCGTTAGGATGGCCGTAGTCGTCGCCGTCGTCGTAGCCGTCGCCGTCGCCGTCGCCATCGCCATCGCCATCGCCATCGCCATCGCCATCGCCATCGCCGTCGTCTTCTTCTTCACCATCGTTGTCGTTCATGCGATGGTCGACGTCGTTGTCGTTGCTCGGCGACAAATCAAAGCAATCCGGAAGCTCGCCGCCGCGGGCCCCGCCGCCGCCGTCGACGTCTACTATGGGTCCCTCTTTTGTTCGCGAAAATTCTCGAGGGGGGAAGAAATCATGGGGTGGCCGTGTTTGGTGTGACACGTGGACGACAGGGTGTTGTTGCGACAGTCGCGGTGACGAGGAAAACCCTGCGACGACTGACGCTTGGCAGATCGACTGCTGCGGCGTAGTAGAGAATATGACAGGACGATTAGTTTTCCCGCCGTCTTTTGTCGGATTGACGAGCCGTTGCCGGGGTGCGGCAAGCTCGAGGCTCTTGTCGGCGAAGAGCAACGTGAAGAGCGGCATTGAGTCGCCGTCGGACCGCGGATCCATCGTGCCTGCGGCGAGACTCACGCAATAAACCGTCGGACGGTTTGTTTCCTCTAGTAAAAAACGGCCTGTCGAATAGACCAAGTCATTCTGGATGTTTGTGTTGTCTGTCGCTGGGGCAATGTGGCTGTGATGATTCTTGCGGCGCCTTCTAAGAACCCTCACCGAGACCAACAGGTTTTGCTGATATATTTCTTCACAATGAGTTCGAAATCGAGCGCTTCAGTGGTGAAATCACTAAATGCGTTGGACTTCGTCGAGGGGAACTAACTAGCCCACAATGCGCCGCAACTGTCAGATCCCCCACCGTTGTAGTTGCTCATTATTACCGAGGGGAGGTGGGAAGGGAATGGTGGAGGGGAGATGTATGTGGCAGACTGGGAGAGAGAGGGCGAAGGAGGATTTGACGATGAAGCACGAATGAGGTCGGTTTGGTTTGTTTGGAGGAGGTTTGGTCTGGTTTGAAAGAAAGTTGAGAAGCGTGACAGGCGTGTGTGAGAATCTGGAAATTGCATATTGGAGGTGTAGTCTTTAGAGATTTGAGTTGCGGTGAACGCGTTACTCACTTCTAGCCAATGGCGTTCCTGCAACTCGCCTAGTTGTGTCCAAATGATTTTGAAACATCCCCAAGTTGCACGGCCGCATCGCGTTTGGTTTTGGTAGCTTCTGGACTCCCATTGGAGATTTCCCTATCTTCGCGTGTCCCTCCGCAAGGGCAGGATGCGGTGCAAGTAACACATCAACGGTCGAGGTGCAGTGATGGAGTGTTTCACCACACAAGAATCGAACATGTTCATTCAAATGTGTCGCATCATCAAAGGAAGAGTGGAGAGGCAGAACAGAGGGACAAAGTGGAACTCCAAGTCGGCGACAAATAATTGACAAAAATGAAAAAAAAAATGTCTTGGTGTAAGGAATTTTCTCGCTATTCCTTACCGCGACCGTCCACATCGCGTACAGCAGCAGCTGTTGTTCGCCCGTCACTGCTAACGGGGCTTTGCCAACTTCGCGCGCACTGTTTCACCAAACCTCGCACTGCTGGAGCAGCCGAGTTGGCCTACGCTTGCACATTTTCGTTACCGTTTGCACATTTTCGTTACCGTTTGCACATTTTCGCGTATAGGTATTCGCTCATGCCTTCGCTCATATTTTGTACTCATTGAACACTCTAGAGCAATCCTCGCCACCTCGATTCATTGCACCCGTAACATTTGGTTATCAGAGCCACTTTCTTTTCGGACCGCGCATCTCCACACCCCAGGAAATCAACTTTTGATCTTTCACTCGAAGGAAGTCACGCCCCTTGGCACCTAGGAGCCACTGTCCTCGCGTTCTCTCGTAAACGCGTGCAGCCACGACTGCGCCTAGACTAAGCTGAGCCGACGCCATTCGTTATGGCTGAACATATCGACGTCACGACGCTCACACAGGACCGTTTGAACGAGCTGCTTCGACAACTCCACGAAAGCTCTGAAGAAATCGCGGCACTGACGGCCGAACGCACGTCCCTGCAAAATGACGTCGCACGAGCACAGCAAGCACAATCACAAGCACCTGGCACTCCAGGACAACCTGAATCACATGCATCACAGCACAGAAGTGTGGGGCAACCCACGAGCGCGGCCAGTGATGGCGTCGTCCGCCACGACGGAGACGGCGACGACGGCACGACACACCCCGAAGCGACGAATGCGGCTAGGAGCCAGCCTCGCGTCATGATTTCGGCACCGACCAATGATTCGGCACTGCCGTCACCGATGCCGCTGAAGCCGCAGCGTTCGCCATGCTTTGACCCGAGTCAACGCGGTGGTCCTACCGTTTAGGCGTGGTTGTTCACGTTGAACGTATTTTTTTACGCCAACTACGTCTCGGAGGATACGGCGAAGATTCGCTACGCCGTGTCGATGCTGCGAGGACCCGCCATGGACTGGTGGCGCGTGATCGTCACGAAGCCGATGGACTACGCGACTCTACCGACACGGGAAGGACAAACCGGACCCTTGGCGCCGTTGTATTTCGTAGAGGTGCCCCAATATCGCACGTGGAATGCGTGATGCGCAGGTATGCGCGCTCGATTTGAGCCAATTGCGGCTTCGATCGCGGCGCGTCAGAAGCTCCGCACTTGGCGCCAATTCGGTTCCGTCCAAGACTACACTAGCGGGTTCCTGGCGCTGTGTGAGCAAGTGGGATACATGCACGAAAGCGAGCGCATCGACCGCTAAATCGGCGGCCTGAAGCATGATATCGCCCAAGAAATTCAGCTCCGCGGCGTCACCAAATTCCAGGAAATTCTCGCCATGGCGGAGAAGCTCGACTTCTTTCGCCGACCGAGGCCGGGGTCCTACGGAAGCAACAGCAGCTGGGGACATCGATCTCGTGGGACGAACGAGGGCACCACGATACGTGCTGTCGCCGCGAATGCCGCTGCCGCACCGTTCAAAGGGCGCTGCTTCGCGTGCAATCGGCCGGGACACCGCAAGAGCAAATGCCCGGAAAACGCTAAGGGAAAGGGGGAAGCTGAGTAGTAGAAACAGACCAAGCAGCAGGGAAATGCTGGGAGTCAGTAGCAGACGGGCCCTCTACTGAC